TAATTGTAGAATCTCAGCAGGTTATATATAAAATTAACTTTTGTAAATTCAATATATGTTTTTAATTCTTCATTTGTACTTTTTGTAAGTGAAAGTTTATTTTAAACTAAATTTCACATTATACTATAGAAAAACTTGTTTTTGTTTTTTTCATCCAAATGCAAATGAGGTTATTTATTTATTTATTTATTTGCATTTAAACATTATAGTCCTTTCTTCTGTTCATGACCAAATTAGCTGATCTGATCGGAAAAAAAATAATCACCAGCGAAAACCCTAGAAGCTACCCCATATTCGAATTCTCGATTTCGATTCAATGTACCAATGGAGAAAATTCGACTTCTTCGAGGAGAAATACGGTGGCAAGATACCTGACGATGTCACCGGAGATATTCAATGTTGTTCCAGTGGCCGCGGCAAAGTCGTCATCGGCTCTAACGACGGATCCGTCAGCTTCCTCGATCGCGGTATCAAGTTCGATTCCGGTTTCCAAGCTCACTCTTCCTCCGTCCTCTTCCTTCAACACCTCAAGGTCTCTCGCTCTCTCTGAATTTTTCTATTGTTTATGTTTCTTCTGATCGAATCCTAAGACTTAAAGTTTTGATCGCTGCTGAATCAATTCGTTCGTCGATTTTACGATTTCACAATAGATATATCTTCAATTTGATTGTGATTTTGGCTGTTTGTTTTGGAAATTGAGATTGTCCTGTTGAGACTGTGTGTTGTTTATGATCAAATTGAGATTTGGCTGTGTTTTTTTGCTTATCGTTGCTCTTTTGGGAGTGTTAATAGCAAAGGAACTTTCTCGTTACTGTTGGAGAAGATGAACAAATATCGCCTCAGCAGTCTGGGATATGTCTCAAGGTATTTGACCTTGATAAAGTGCAAGAAGAAAGTACTAGTTCTTCGACTCCTGAATGCTTTGGTATTCTAAGAATATTTACCAATCAGTTTCCTGAAGCTAAGGTACTAAGATACTAATAACTATCTCTTCGCGATTGTAATGCGTTGTCTCCGTTTGGTTTCTTGATGGAAACTTATGTGCAATTTGCAGATTACTTCTTTTCTTGTCCTGGAGGAAGTTCCACCTATATTGCTTATAGCCATTGGTTTAGATAATGGCTGCATTTATTGTGTCAAAGGAGATATTGCACGAGAGCGTATCACCCGGTTTAAGCTTCAAGTGGATGGACGATCTCCTATTACAGGCTTGGGGTTCAGGATGGATGGTCAAGCGCTTCTGTTATTTGCCGTAACACCAGACTCAGTTAACTTGTTCAGTATGCAGGCGCAGCCACCTAGATTGCAGACTTTGGATCATATTGGGGGCAGTGTGAATACTGTTACAATGAGTGATCGCTCGGTACGTACTTCTTTATATGTGAGTTGTTGATTTTAGAGTATGTTCTTCGTATCTTCTAACCAGTTGAAGTATGTTGTGCTCTACAGGAACTAATAGTTGGTCGACCTGAGGCTGTTTATTTCTATGAAGTTGATGGACGTGGTCCTTGCTGGGCTTTTGAAGGAGAGAAAAAATTCATGGGCTGGTTCCGTGGCTACCTTTTATGTGTCCTTACTGACCCGAAAACTGGGACAAATGTTTTCAATGTGTACGACCTTAGGAATCGGCTTATAGCATATAGTCTAGTCGTTGATAAAGTCTCCAACATGCTCTGCGAATGGGGAAACGTAATACTTATAACGTCTGACAAATCATTATTGTGCATTACCGAGAAGGATATGGAAAGCAAGTTAGATATGCTGTTCAAGAAAAACCTGTACACAGTAGCGATTAATCTTGTCCAGAGTCAGCATGCCGATGCTGCTGCTACTGCCAATGTGATGAGGAAGTATGGAGATCATTTATATGGCAAACAGGACTTTGACGAAGCTATGTCTCAGTACATAAACACAATTGGTTACCTTGAACCATCATTTGTGATACAAAAGTTTCTGGATGCACAGAGGATCTACAATCTTACAAATTACCTGGAAAAGTTGCATGAGAAGGGTCTAGCATCAAAAGACCACACTACTCTTTTGCTAAACTGTTACACTAAGTTGAAGGATGTAGAAAAGCTGAACACATTCATTAGAAAAGAAGATGGCATCGGCGAACTGAAGTTTGATGTTGAAACAGCCATTAGGGTCTGTCGTGCAGCTAATTACCATGAGCATGCGATGTATGTTGCAAAAAAGGCAGGAAAACATGAGTGGTATTTGAAAATTTTGCTGGAAGATCTTGGAAACTACGACGAAGCCCTGCAATATGTTTCAAGTCTTGAACCCAGTCAAGCTGGGGTAACAATAAAAGAGTACGGTAAGATTCTTATAGAGCACAAGCCCAAAGAGACTATTGATATACTCATGCAACTTTGCACTGAGCAAGGGACTTCTAATGGTGCGTACCTGTCCATGTTGCCATCACCTGTAGACTTCATCAATGTGTTTGTTCAGCATCCACATTCATTAATGCATTTTCTCGAGAGATATGCTGATATAGTGAAGGATTCACCTGCTCAAGCAGAAATCAATAACACACTCTTGGAGTTATACTTGTCCAGGGACTTGAATTTTCCATCAATCTCTCTCTCAGAAAATGCTCTAGATCCGGACTTAACAGATCATACAGTAGCCGCTACGGTGTCTAAAGCTGATCCTAAAAATAGGACAAATGCTGATTCGAAGGATGCAGTGGAGAAGGATTGTAAAGAAAGACAACAGAAGGGACTGGAGTTGCTTAAACTGGCATGGCCGTCAGACCTAGAGCAACCCCTCTATGATGTTGACCTTGCTATAATTCTTTGTGAGATGAATTCGTTCAAGGAGGGACTTCTGTATCTGTATGAAAAGATGAAACTTTACAAGGAGGTTATTGCTTGCTACATGCAGAACCATGATCATGAAGGACTGATTGCGTGCTGCAAAAGATTAGGTGATTCTGGCAAGGGAGGGGATCCGTCTCTTTGGGCAGATCTTCTCAAGTATTTTGGTGAAATTGGAGAGGACTGCACCAAAGAAGTGAAGGAGGTTCTTACTTATATTGAACGGGATGATATTTTACCTCCTATAATTGTTCTTCAGACCTTGGCAAAGAATCCATGCCTTACCCTCTCTGTTATCAAAGACTATATAGCCCGAAAACTTGAACAAGAATCAAAGATAATTGAAGAGGACCGGCGTGCAGTAGAGAAGTATCAGGTTGGTGTTTTCATCATCATACGTTTTAAATTCGTTCATCCAGTCTGACCCTTCAAGTCAATTAGAAAACTTGTTCTCGTAATGCAGACCCTATTTCTTATCCAAAAGCCTTTTGTGCACGAAAATCATCTCCCGATGTAAATTCCTAATCAGGTTTTTGAACGGTGCAGGAAACGACAAAAAACATGAGAAAAGAGATTGAAGACCTTAGGACGAATGCCAGAATATTTCAACTTAGCAAGTGCACCGCTTGCACTTTCACATTAGATATCCCAGCAGTCCATTTTATGTGTATGCACTCATTTCATCAACGCTGCCTTGGTGACAATGAAAAAGAATGCCCTGAGTGTGCTCCCGAGTACAGATCTGTGATAGAAATGAAGAGAAGTTTGGAGCAGAACTCGAAAGACCAAAATCTGTTTTTCCAGCAAGTGAAAGGCTCAAAAGACGGGTTTTCTGTGATTGCAGAGTACTTTGGGAAAGGAATCATCAGCAAAACTAGTAATGCAACATCTTGATTCTCTTCATGTCTGGGGGTAACTACTGAACTTGCAAATGACTTATAAGTTATCCTTTTTTTACTTTGTTGGAATCAAGTAAATGAGAACATCTAATTACAAAATAAGATAATATGGGAGATATATAATCTCATTTATTGATTTTGTCTGTTCAGGTAAGGCGTCTGAAACTCTCGAAGTGAGTCTGGCATGAACTATGTGGCATCTGTGTATCTGTGATTGTGAGGTATCCTTTAAATCTACTTTATCGGCTTAGATATTGTGTAAGAGTGAGTTGCTAGTGAAGTTGGACAGGCTCAATTCTTCTTATTTACATTTCTGAGAATCTGTGCCATGATGCTGGAGGAGATGCATATAAAATGTTTTTGTGTGTATGTATCATTTTTTGTTTTGTATTTTTACTTTTGGAACTCCATAATTTCAAAGGGAATGTTTAAAGTAAATATGCTGTTGTGTTTGCTTTGCAGTCGTTGTGTTAAACGATCTGCTCATTTGAGCAGTTTTTAAATACTTGCTCAAATTCTGACTTCGGATCATTATGTGACACTCAAAAACTTAAATTATCTTTCATGCGTCCAATTTTTCTGCTTCTGAGAAATACTGGACAAATCTTAAGACTTGGCTGTCGGAGTTAATATTTGGCGTTCGCGTTGCTCCCATGATTGACCACAGGAATCCCCACTCTGATTTCACGGTTCGTTTATCTCCTTTGACTCTGTTCTAGCTGTGATTAGGGTTTCCAGCGGTTTATCTTGCCCTTGAGATCTTTATTGGAAGTTAAGAGTTTTAAGTGTTTAACCATGGCTGGAACAGATGAGTTTGTTGGGGTTTCAAAGGCAGGTAACGCCAGTTTCCGGTTTTTTTCTTGCTTCCCGTAGCTATCCAAGATCAGGAGTGCCTTTAATTGAAATAGCAGCATGATGTTGAGAAGCCTTGGTTTCTGGATGTGTATGGCTTTGTCTGATCTCAGGTTTAGGACAGATAAATTAACTACGTCATGATTTATAATTGGTTCGTTTTGGAATGCTCAATCTTAAATGTTCTGTTATGGACCTTCTCCTTCTGTTCTGAAGGATACTTCTTCTTTGTATATATGGAACCGAGAGTGGAAACTCTTTGCGGAGATTTTAGAAGTAAGGATGAAGGAGTCTCTTCCCGTGTGGATAGATAAGCAGAAAAAGAGAGTTGCTGTTCTTAGTTTAGCGTTTTGCACATGTACCTTCCACTTGGGTCATCAGATCAATCTTTCGGGTTCACTTCGATTCGGGTAACATCCTCCGGAAAGTCGAAGAAGTAAAGTTCCATGCTTCTCGTGATCCGTTAAAAAGCTTATAAGTACTAAGCATACATAACGGTTGTCTGAATTTAGAACAAAGTTCTCACTCGAAGCAGAGTTCTCTAACTGATGCAATCAAATCTCAAAAGTAATCCACGAGGTCACAAACTCAGATCTAGACGAGACAACCATTTTACTTGTTTATAACTGAGACGATAACATGTGGCTCAACAATGACTCACAGGAGTAAAAATAAAATGGTCATTTCTTATTGTCCGATGATATCAAAACCTGATACAGAATTACAGACAGACAACAGCAGGAAGAACTTACGATGTTTGTCTCCAAAGTACAACGTTGTAAAGATGACAATGATGGTTTTGGAGGAAGAGCAGGGCTTGACTATAACAAAAGCTTTGTTTACGTGCAAGACTCTGGCAATATCCTTAAACCAGGTTTTGTCTTGACTCTTGATACTTTACTTTGATTTTACTTTTCGATGTTATCAATGTGAATGTGATCATGAGTGATTGCTTAAAAAAATTATTCTATCTGTCCTTTATTTCATGTTCTTAAAAAAAAAAAAAAGTAATTAACAAATCATATGATTAACTAATTCTTGATAAATTTTTTTTTTGGTTTAGTGTTAAAATGCTAATTCTTGATTATGTTGCAGCTCCCTCTTCACTTTGAGCAACAATGGCAGCAATTATCACCGTTGACTTTCAGAACTGTTTCATCTTCATCCTCCTATGCCTCTTCTCACTCTTTTGCTACTCTTTCTTCTTCAAGAAACCAAAGGACTCACGAGGCTTCAGTGAACTGCCTCCTAGCCCTCCTTCTCTTCCAATCATTGGTCATCTTCACCTTCTCCTCTCTTCTATAACCCACAAGTCTCTTCAGAAACTCTCTTCCAAGTATGGACCTCTCCTCCATCTACGGATCTTTAATGTCCCCATCATCCTCGTCTCTTCAGCCTCAGTGGCTTACGAGATCTTCAGGTCTCATGACGTGAACGTCTCCTCTCGTGGTGGTGCTGCGATCGATGAGTCCCTCGTGTTTGGATATTCTGGTATCATCAACGCTCCTTATGGAGATTACTGGAAGTTCATGAAGAAGCTTATAGCCACTAAGCTGCTCCGACCACAGTCGCTTGAGAGGTCAAAAGGTATTCGTGGTGAAGAGCTAATGAGATTTTACAACAGCATTCTCGATAAGGCGAAGATGAACGAGAGCGTTGAGATCAGTAAGGAAGTAATGAAGCTTGTGAACAACACCTTGTGTAGGATGAGCATGGGAAGGATGTTTTCAGAGGAGAACGGTGAGGCAGAGAAAGTCAGAGGATTGGTGGATGAATCTTATGCCTTGACCAAGAAGATGTTTCTGGTAGCTTTATTGCGTAGACCGCTCAAGAAGTTTCGGATCCCACTATTTGTGAAGGAGATAATGAGTGTTTCCGACAAATTCGATGAGTTGCTAGAGAGAATTCTTGTGGAACATAAAGAGAAACTCCAAGAGGGGTATCAAGGTACTGATATGATGGATGTGTTATTGGCAGCTTATGGAGATGAAAACGCAGAGTATAAGATCACTAGGAATCATATCAAGTCGTTTTTCGTGGTAAATGTTCCCTCGTTATATCAATTTCATTTGAGGATCCAAACGAAATTTACTTAGAAATGTTTTGTATCTTCTCACTGCAGGAGCTTTTCGTTGGAGGCACTGATACCTCAGTGCAAACAACACAATGGACAATGGCAGAGATCATGAACAACCCTAACATTCTTGAGAGAGTAAGGGAAGAAATTGATTCCATTGTAGGGAAAAAAAGATTGATTCAAGAAACTGATCTACCGAACCTCCCTTATTTGCAAGCAGTAGTCAAAGAAGGGCTAAGACTGCATCCACCAGGTCCTCTCTTGGTAAGGACGTTCCAAGAAAGATGTGAGATCAAAGGCTTCTACATACCAGAGAAGACAACACTCATTATTAATGCTTATGCTGTAATGAGAGATCCTGATTCTTGGGAAGATCCTGACGAGTTTAAGCCAGAGAGGTTTCTAAGTTCCTCAAGCGCGCAAGAAGGCGAGAAAGAGCAAGCTTTTAAGTACCTTCCTTTTGGCGGCGGAAGGAGAGGATGTCCCGGAGGTAATCTAGCTTCTATATTTGTAGGAACCGCAATCGCAGTCATGGTGCAATGCTTTGACTGGAAAATCAAAGGAGATAAGGTTAACATGGAAGAGACAATTGAAGGAATGAACCTAAGTATGGTTCAACCTCTTAACTGCTCGCCAGTTCCTCGAACCCTATCATTTTCTTGAATTTACTTTTGAAGATTTGCAGTTCCTGACACTACTCAGGTCCATTACATTTTCAGTCTTTTATGGTTGTTGTATTTGAAATTTAAATATTCATATGCAAGAAAGCTGAGGCCAGCAATATATATTAGCTTATCAAAGTACTTTGATTTAAAACCTTGGTAATTTTAAGAAATTTTATGTCCCTTAACTTAGGCATCACCACATTTACGGTTTATTAACCACCGGTTAACGGTTATAACTTTCTTTAACCATAACATTAACCATTATATATATGGGTAAGGCGGTTATAGTTATATACGATTACGATTAGTTACTGTTACGTTTAAATATGGTTACAATTATTTGATGATTATAATGTTGTTAATATCATGGATGAAATTTTATGTTTTCTTACTTTTATTATAAAAAGTTAAATGATGATATATTCAAATAATATTTATTTTAAAATATGAAATATATTTAGTTATAGAGATCAACTATTTTATAGTAAATTAGTTAATCAATGAGTTTTATTTAATCAAACAAAATTACACATTATTAAATTAATGGTCATAAATCTACAAATAATTAACTTATTTATTTTTTTTGATTAACGAGAACGAGTAAGAAAGTGAATTTGATTTATTAGCTGACACAATAATCTATTTAAAACACTATTTCAATGAATATTTTTATTTTAAAAATTTAACCGTACGATTATATATGCGGTTAAACGGTTTTGATACGGTTAATAATAATTACGGTTACAATTTGGTGACGGTTACAGTTACGGTTAGGTTTTGGTCATGCCTACCTCGGCTCTGTTTCTTCATCCATTACATCAACTCGGGTCGGTTCGAACCAAAAGGCCAAAGCATACTTTTATTTCTTTACACCACTGCGTCAATATATAACTAAAGCGTAAAAAGACGTTTGTAAAACAGCGGGAGAAGTACTTTGAGAGGAAGAAGATGGCGAAGAAGAGAGACAGTTTCAAGCTTATCAAAATCAAAGAAGCCTTTAATCTCATCAACCAACACGTTACTCTTATTGGTGTTGTTCTTGAATCAAGAGAACCCAAACAATGCCGCAACAATGGTATCTCCAAATCCAAATTTTCTCCCTTTTATTGTTTTCGTTTCTTCGTCAATCAGATAAATTGAGAATTTTTCTGTGAATTTTATTTATCTGGGTGATGATTGAATTGGGTTTGTTTTGTGAAAACCCTAACAATTTACCCAAAAGGTGTAAACTTTATCGATTCTTGAGTGTGAATAATTAAAAAAAACTTGGTTTTTTCAATCGAAATGTGAATACTTTTTGCTGATTTTAGTGTGAGAAGATTTAAAACTTGATTTTGCAATTGAAATGTGAATACTTTTTGCTGAAAGTTTGAATTTTTTGAGTGTGATTAGATTAAAAACTTGATTTTGCAATCGAAATGTGAATAGTTTTTGCTGAAAGTTTGGATTTTTTTTGTGACATTTTTAGATTGGATTTGTACGCTCCGGGTACTTGATGATACATGCCCAAGTCCTGGACTTACTGTAAATGTATTTAGTAAAACAGCTGAAGAGCTTCCTCAAATCAAGAACCATGACGACATGGTTCTGTTTACACGCATCAAGGTACATGACTCTGGTCCTGAAACACTCATTGTCTTACCTTTCTTGTGTGTTTTGATTTTTTGGAGGTGCATAGGTGTATATGGTAAAGTTTTGATTTTTTTTGTTTTTGTAGATGCAAACTTTTGATAGTGGAAGAAGAGTAAACGCTGCTTGTGATAAACGGGTTGCTTCGTTTGCGCTGTTCGAAGGAAGTACTGGCAAGGATCTTGTATGTTACCAATGCAGTTCAAATTTTTATGAAGATGTAGCACTATACAAGAGTTCCATGGATGATCTACGCAAAGTGTTTCCCAATTGTAGTGAAGCTGATAATGGTAACAATGTGAGCTTGTATTGTGCTCTCAAGTTTTCGTATTGTTTCAAGATTTATACTTAGTAATAGAGTCTGCAGCGGTATAAAGATGCGCAAGAAGTCTTTCGATAGGTTAAGATGGAAACTGGATGAATAACTTGGAACGATTCTCATGAGCTTTCGTTTTCTCTTTTTGTTCTTAGCTTTGCAGAGTTCAATCTATAGAAAAGCACCTCGCCCTCAAGAAAATTTAACATTCTTGAGAGAGATCAAGAAAGGAAAATGCTTTGATTTGCTGTGCAGGGTAATATGACTTGACTCTTACCTTTGCTATATACTGACCAGCAATATGAGAAACCTGTGTGGTGGTTGATTATTGTAAATCCTGTTGGCTCATATTGTAAACCATTTATCTTTTGATGATTGATCTTACCCTGTTTTCTGTTGTTTATTGTAATGGAGATCCTCCATGCCGATGAAGAAATGAGCACCGTTTTTGTTTGGGATGGAACTGATGCACCGCCAGCATCTATTCTGGCAAAGTGAGTATTTAAATGGCAAGGAAAATAAGTTTGATATCCTCAGATTATCGATTTTGAGTTGTTTGGTACAATAGTTTCCAATATAGAGCAGTTGAGATTAGATGTTAGTATTGCACCTCTTGAAAATTTTGATCTAAACTTTTCCAGCTTTTAATTAGTTGATTTTTGCTTTCCATATTCTACGTTTACTTTTTTCTTATTTACATTGTTTGCTATTGACAGGGGAATTGAAGAAGACAAGGCATTTAGCAGTCTCTCAGTTAATACTTTTCTGTCAAGAGATACATTGCTCAGCTTTCCAACAGTTGGAACGATCTTGAGAGTTTCTCTAAGCAATCATCTATTTCATCAGGTTAAACCTGGTGATTGGGTGAAACTTTACCATTTACTCTGTGAAGTTGATAAGGGATCTTGGGTAGGTAAAGTTACCAACTCTACAAAAGTTCATCTTGCTCAAGATGATCGTTTAGTTGAAAAGATCATGAGGTTAGTACTTCTCGATGTTTCTTTCGGTAATCACTTCTGACCTTTTTGCTTACCACAAGAATCTCTTCCACATTTGGATTTTTATTTATGTTCCCAAAACTAGGATATATGATAAGAGAATATCATCAAAGCTGGGACACATTCCATTTTGGAGTTTTCCGTCGCCTCCTGGACTAACAGGTTGCAATACTCCCATCATTCTTTTAAAGAAAACTTTTCAGACAGATTTCATTACCACTCTCGATATCTTGCAGTGACCGATGACCAATGTGCACCATTTCTTTCACTGATGGACATCATAACATTCCCCAAGGTGAATCTTTTTCTGTATTCCTTGAACATATTAAGAATACTTTTATGTGATCGCCTATGCTGTTATTAAAGGTTACATGCAAGTACAGATGCATTGTTCGGGTTGTAGCCGTGTACCCTTGGCAAGTAGAGGATTACTGTTCAGATAAGGATCGCCGGCACCGAGTTTTGTTGACACTGGAGGATCCAACAGCGACTTTAGATGCTTTCTTATGCGATAAAGAATCAGTAAATATCACATTTGGTTTATGCATCTAAACTGTAAACAGATATTGTCTCTGTTACCATAATCTACTGTTATATATATTGGCAGGAGTACTTTTGGGGTTTAGGATTTCAGCACACTAGGATATTGAGAAAGAAGCGGAATCGGTTGCTCGGAATAAGCGAAAACTCCAACTTTGTTACTCCAAGAAATCCACCATGGATCGAGTGTTGTATTTTCTCTTACTATACTAATAAAGCTGACCCCTGGAACACCAGATTATATAGAATATTTGGCACTCGCCTTCGTGGCTAAGCTTTGTTAAGACTAAATAGTTTAGTATTAGGAGTTTAGGACTTAGATCATGTTACGAATGTTGGTTGTAGCTTAACAAGTATATGTTACATTCTGTTTCATTATTTCTATAAACCATAACTATAGAGACCAGAGGCTTAAAGGTGATGATCGCGGAGCTATACATATATAGTTGAAGTGTGTTTCACTATAGACCAGAAGCTTAAAGGTAAGAAATGGAAAGATAATTGCTACATTTATAACTCTACTTGTAAAAATTCTGTCATCACTAAGGTCAACAAAGAAACGAATACAGAATGGTAAAAAAAGAAAAAGAGAAGGAGCAAACAAAAGTCAAACTATGCTTTGCTTACTCTTGAACATTGCCTAATACAACAGCTTCAGTGACCAAACAGAATGGTTTTGTGTGTTTAACATTCCTTCATAAAACTCCACAATCTTGTCCATTCTTGGCTGATACAACAACAACAACAACTCTTACACTACACTTGGTCTCAATCTGAAACCCTCTTTCTCTTATAGGGTCACTGAAATTAATTGGTTCCTGCTCCGATGTGAAGCAGCTGCTCGGGGATTGCAGCTGGATCTAAGTCCCAACAGTTTCCGGGAAAGCCGTTGGTTGCATCTTTAATAAACCAGGATGGCACTTGATGTGAGAATCGCAACATCTCGCACCTAGGTATCCACTTCTTACTATCATCTTCCCTGGTGCTCTTGTGATATACAGTTTTGTAGCCCTCAAGTTTAACAAGAGGGGCAATGCACACACCATACTGTTCAGTATATTCATCTAGGATTTCGACCATTTCATACTGGTGCCTCACTTCGTCCGGGGTTGATCCGTCCCAGTTTAGTGACCAGTTCTTGTAGACAGCCCAAATCTCCCCAGTTGTGGGGAAGATTCGAACACAACCACCTCTCCCTGTCTTCTTGCCTTTCAAAAGATGCGAAAAGATGTTTATGTGGTCAACTATGTCAGAGTTTCGTATCCTGAAATGCCCACATGACTTTGTAAACCCGTATTGTACCCATTTCATTGACCCAAACTCGATGTCGGTTTTGGAGCTTAAGTAGGCAATGTCAATCTTAAAGGGTTGAACGGAGAGTACTTCCCTAACGACACAATATAGGCGTGGCATACCATCATCTTCATCATAAATTGCCCATATTTGCCTTGGCTCAAAGGATTCCTCCGATCTGTTTTTATCAAAATCGTGGAAGTCAGAGTCTGGAACAGTTATTGGCCCGTTATTTTTGCGCCCCGTAACATCTCCCAACTTACAGGAGATAACAGCTTTTTCATCAAGGGGTGTCGCAACCTCTGCAGCCGCTGCTGCCTCTGAAGCTAATCTCATGGTCTCCAATCTTTGCTTAATGTCTGATTTGGCCTTTTGAAGTAAGGGCTTCCGTGTATCCATTACTGATGCAGCAGACCACCGTCTGGATGAGCCACTACTTTGGAGATGAAGTTTGTAATCTTGATCCATTTTGCCATCCGCATTCGTTGTCTTTGATACTGAGACAGATTTCAGAGGGTTCTCAACAAATCCATTGGCAGCAGCTTCCAGAAAAACTTTGCTCTTCTTCCCAGGTCTGCCAATCTTATTTGCAGTCCCGTGAGCAGACATGCTTGGCGGATTAGGATATATCAAACCCCCTGATGAGCTTTTCAGCGAACATGTCCCATTAGAACCATCTTTGACTTTTTTTATCCCCGTGCTGACTACTGAGCTGCTGTGCTTATAAGGATACCCATTGGACACTGAGGACACACGCTTCAAATCCAGATTCCCTGGGGAAGTAGTTCCAGCGTATGAGGTCCATTCATATGAACCATTGGTACCATAATCATATCCATGTCCTTGTCCAGGATAGTGGCCTAAGAAATATGTTGAGTTGGTGGGCATGCGTGACATAGCATCATAACCATGTGTGCCATAGCCATTACTTGGAGGAGCATGAGATGAAGGGGCATGAGATGAAGGGGCATGAGAAGGAGGTGCATGAGATGGAGGCGTGTAATGAAATGGCGCACTAACAGGAGCTGGACCAGTTTCTACAGCAATAAATGCTCCACGACAGTTCTTACATGAAAGCCTCTTATTCACATACTTCCTCAGGTACTCATACTGAACTTTGCAAGAGGTGCATACAGTCCAGAAAGTATCAAGCCTTTCTGAAGATGGTGGACACCGATCAAATACTGTAGTCCCAGTCCCAGGCATGTACTCTGTGCTGTGCTTCTGAACCACTGTGGAGTCGATATGCTTCTTTCTTTTGTAATAAAAAGTGCTTTTATTAAACTCATTGGACAAGAAACTCCAGGCTTCAGATATGAGATGAAACGCACCATCAGCCCCAATGCATTTGTTCTTGTCAGGATGAAGCAATACAGCCATCTTCTTGTACTGTTTCTTCACTTCTCTTTTCCCAGCCGACGGTTTCAGTCCAAGTACCCCATAATAATCAATTTGACCACCACTCCTACACTGAGACGCTAAATAAACTTCAAACGTCGCAATCATCTGAGATAAACCTTCCAAATCAGGAAACAAAGACCTAGCTTTCAACGCATAACTCCTAGCGCTTGTGAAATCTTTCTCCACAAATCTCTTCTCAGCGATCTGTTTCACTCTCAGAGCTTCCTCTCTGTAAGCTTCCATGTAGAAAAAACCAAGCCAATATACAAAAAACCACCAGCTCTGCAAAAGGAAACTAACACCGTTCTCGCAAGATCATCATCATTATCTGCAAAGCATTCACAAGAATTAACATTAATTCTTTTGAGTCACTACAATATAAAACCAATACCTAACCAACCCACACATACAACAATCTCAAACTAGCTTTTACTCAAAACCAAAAAACAAACCAAACCACACTTACTCACATACCACAATCATCCTCAGATTCAAGATCTAGAATCTCAAAGTTCCGTTTTTCTTAACAAAATTGCTAACTTTATGACACTACAACATACACAATTATACAATTACTAAATTAGATTTGTATAATTAAACTCATTGAACTCATAAAGTAGCTAAATTTAACCTCCATTTCAGACAAATCTTACCAGAAACCAAACAAAACACAAGCGTCAGATTCAAGCTACAAACATCTTCAACAAATCACACTATAAACCCTACTCAAAAAGGATTCACCTTTACATACCCAACTCAGGATTTGCTACAAACCCACAACAACAACAACAAAAACCTAAAATTTCAAGAAATGAAACAAACAGAGAATAGAGCTAAGCGATCTTACTGATAAATTGGGGAAAAATTTACAAAAACAGATCTCTCTTCAAGTTCTTGCTCCACTACTTTGAACAGATCAAATCCAAAAGTAACCCAAAAAAAACGAATCTTGAGCAAGATTTGGAATCAAGAACAGCTTCAATGACTACAGTAACTTAGGGTTTATGGGTTTCAGTGAAAGTTAATTTCAGGGTAATCGGCGAATTCAACCATCGCCGGAGAAAAAAAAAGCTCGAGATTTTCGCCGTCGATCAGCGATCGAGAAAATTTTCGGAAAAATGAAAGATAAAATAAAAATTGGGTTTTTTTTTTTTTGGTATTAAGTAAAATATATTTCAGTGAAAGTAAACGGTGCTAATTTGTTAATAGTGTTCTCTGATCTATGCTATCGTGCACCGTAATGAGAAGTGCGCATTTTTATTTTATTTTTTCTCTTTAATAAAAAATACAAATTATTAAAAATGTTTTAATTTGATAATTTAAAATTATTATTTTTAAATGTATGATGCAAGTTGCATTTATCCCTTTTGTTATCTTTAAATTTTCTTGAAAGTTTTAAAACAACCACAGCCAGTTATTTTGACTTGGATCTGAATTTGAGTCTAAATTTTATGAATAATATAATTAACTTTAATGAAAGAATCAACTTTAATAAGTGATAAAACAACACATAAATATAGAAAATTAATGTTCAAACCATCCAGCTATTGCAAAGTCATGAAGATTAATTGTAGAATTTTCACACCTGTTAAGAAAAAAATTATTATTTTTTATAACCTTTTTATTTTTTAATGATTATACATTCATCATTATTCTACGGTTTCCAATAATATAATTTGTTTAATCAAGTGGTATTATTTAAGTCATTGTTTGATTGTAATATTTAATGATTTAAAAGCCATTTTAATTCCTTCAATTTTTATATACTAATAATATCCTTAAACTCCTCTTAATACATTAGCACAAATATCTATGTTTTTCTCATAAAATATATTAATAACGATTTGTTTTTTTTTTTAATTTGCTGTCAACAAAAAAAAAAACAAAAAACATGTTAAAATTAATATACAGAAATAAGAAACTTACCAAAGATAAGGATTAAAACGATGAGAACATTACCGAAGTAAACCGGTGTCGACTAAGATAAGGATCAAAACGATGAGAATATCATACATGAGAATCCGTCATGTCGTGAATGACGTGAAGCTCCTTCTTGATGTGAATCAAGCACTCGATTACCTGAACTTCCAACCTATACTAGGAAGCTTGGCTGTCTTTCAACCTGACTTTCGCGATGTTCGACTCGGCATTTATCGTGGGCCTCAATCAGTTATATCCTCTTTCAGTGCATGGCATTCAGTTTCAATACAGTCTATTAAAATTGTAAATGGAGAGACAATTGCGTTTGTAAAGATCAGTCATGGTCACCTAAGTGGAGATGCCGGTTATATCAAAGTATCCATGGACGTAATGTTGTTGGGGTTGGAGACACAAGAAGAAAACCCCCATTTCCAGTCCCTAGGAGATTGTTTAGGTGTTTTACTTATGCAGAGGTTCGAAAAGAATATCAGAAAAAGTTGTTGAATGGTATGTTGATGGTAAAAAGAATTCTAACCAAGTCACTCTATCGAAAAAGACAACATCCTTAATTCTTGAAGGGATTTTCAATAACACATATGGAAAATGTTTAAAGTCAGTTTTCTTATAAGCTCTTGATTGAGACCTATCATTTTAAAATCTCTAAAACTTTTGAAATCCACAAACTCATTTTAAATTCAACCTCCCAATAATCCCTCCTTAGGATTAGATTACTATTTACTTATTTCATCTGTCGATTTCAGAATGCATGTTAAGCAGTTGTTACAAACTACAACTCTATATAAGAGAAATATTTGTTTTTACAATGTTGAACAACTTTTTTTAAAGACACCTTTTGATGCAACACTGCAATTAGAAATTTAAACATATGCATTGAAAGCATATAAACAAATATGAGTCATAATCAAGTGAAAATGCCCAATTTGTATGTGTAAATGGGTCTCGAGATTGATTTATATATAAGATGAAATCCAATTATTGTAAAGTAAGAAGTGAGTTTAACGAAAATTCACGCCATTTACAAAGTGTATAAACTATTCTTCTTCATTGTGTTCTCTAATAAGTCAAGCTATGGCTAAATCTACTTTCATAAACTACATTATGAATTTCTCATTTTAACAAAATTAATTATATATAAGTCATAAATAACTTTTACGCAAATCTCAAAAGATTTATTTGTGTAGCATTTTGATATATATTACATTGTTTCGAATGAGTAGGGACATATAAAATTTGTTGATTTGAGTCAACATGTCTTTCTTTAATAAATGTTTTGTTTGTTTATCGAAGGACTCATTTAAGATATGTCGATTTTGCACAAGATTTGTGCTAATTCTTTTGAAAAGTGTGTGTCAAATATGGTAAATATTTTATATTAAAAAACTAGGATCTAACCTGCGCTACAGCGCGGGAGAATGTTTTCGAGTCTAGATTATTTCTAATGTATTTTATTAGATTTGTCATTATTTTATTATTTATAGTAAACATGGTGTTAAATTTTATATCTATAAGTGGTGTAATTTATCGCCAAAATTGTGTAAGAAAAAAGGAAATACAATATTCTTTAACATCATGACTAATAGAAATAATGAGTAAAATGTGAGAGATTATAATTATTTGAATGTAATTGATAGATGTATTTGTATGTAATTGTGGTACATACAAATTTCCAAACGGGTACTTTTAAATTATACTATTACCTTTGTATAGATTTTTTTTTTAATTTGGTGGAACATATTTCAAAATTTTCCAGTAATCGTGTAATTTGATAATTTTAAGAAATTGTTTATGCTATAATTTGTTAAACTTTTAATTTTGATTTTCCAATGGCTATGATAATGTAGTGTTTTTTGGATTGGGGCTCAATTTGAAATGATTTTAATATAATGTTTTTGGGCTATAATGTTTGCATATACATAACTCTAAATGCGTCTTCATGTAAGAGCAACAAAAAGAATTATATGTTAATGGTGACTCAATTTCTCTTATAGTCCACCAAGTGTATGTTGTACATGTCTCTCCCCTCCAAATTTAAAGAGGCATAACATATGTTGTTACTTGTTATCATGGAAAATGTTTCTCCCAAACGTAATCAGCTTTTATGACTCAGTAAGCTCTCCTTTAATGAATCAAGTAGTTTATCTTCTGGATGCATTACTGTCTCTCCTTCAACCAAGCCTCTCCGTACCGTCCCTCCTTCAACCAAGCCTCTCCAGAGGCCACTCTCGGCAACGACCCTCTTCCCCATCCTTCGTTAGGTATGGGCCTTTTCTCACTTCGAAACTGCCCACCACGTGTTTGTTAAAATGTGACTTCATCTTTGGCTCTGTTAAACAGAGAGTGGTGGGGCGGCCTCTACTTCCAGAAATGCCAAACAAACTAAACTTACTAATCTTGCTCCACTTACTTCCAACACTGCGAAAACGCTACTCGCCTTTGCTCGAATCTTTACCAAAACGTCTACAGTGCTCGCCACTATCTTTACACACCCTTTCTAGAACTCTTCAACGTCTTTCCCGGTGATTTCAATGCCGCCATTGACGAATCCTGTAATTTGGCGTTTGACGTTTTTCTTAAGCTCGACACGTTTGAAAACCCTTTCTCATCTCCTGAATCTTACGGCTTTCAAGAGACCCAATTATGCTTCTTCCAGCTGAAGCATAAGCTAGACACCCGTCTCCGCAAGTCTAAGTCACAGTTCGCCTCCTCCACCATACCACAGCTGGTTCTGCCTTATGTCTTGTTGTCGTTGCTGCTTCTGCGGCTGTTGTCGGCTATAAATCGGTAAAAGAAGAAGAGGCAAATAAGATTTGGTTGTAGGTATGTTGAATAGATGACGACTAAGCTTTATATAGCAAAACGTTAAGTGGCTTAGATTAGGGCTGTTTGTTAGGGAAATATTCTAAGAGAGATTTGCGTGATTGAGAGGGTAATATCTTCAATTATTCTCTGCGACTAATATACTTAAATGTATTACCAAAAAGAATAATAAAAGAATCATAGGCTGTTATTTCTAATATGCTTAATAAAAGCACAAATTTTGTTACCATGTTTAGATATCACAAGAAAACCGATTAGAAGTATTATCAGATCGGATTCATAACCCATTAGCTAACCGACTATTGAAGATCCGATTACATAATCTCGGGTTATTTTTTAAAAATAAACCGACCCGGAAGCACTTTTGTACTCTTCTTTTACTTATATAGAGATATAAAATACAAACCTATTGGCTTATTAATGCATATGTCTCAAAATTTAATCATTTGGCAATGTGTCTAATGAACTAATTTTTTTAGCAAAAGACAAGACACATCCCAAACAAATACCTTAGAAAGAGAAATTATATAAAATATTTAAAACAAAGCATATTATTTTCATTTAATCATTGATGATTTTAACAATTATATTTTTTTTTGGTCAACTAATGTTATTGATATAACTAAAAAGGATACGTGGTGAAATACAACTTAAGCCGGCGGAAGATAAACATTTCCTCGGTTTCTAAAGCCCAAAATGGGAAACAAAGCCGGCGGACAAATATAAATCCCGGAAACATAAAAACCAACAAGTTATAAAGCAGAAAAACTGAACCCCGAAAAAGGACAAACCCTTAACTAAAGATAGGACAATAAGGCTTAACCTTTACAAAGTACATTAGTCACAAGGAGCAAGAATACCTCTTCTTCTGAAGCACATGTGGAATAGATTTACCAAAGATGCACACGGCCAATCCGACGATAACATCAACTACCTCATATCACATTGAGAGCCAATCTCTCGAAACCAAAAGACTTCATAACCCGACAAGCAAGACTCGATTACACTTCCGAATACGAGGACGACTGCAGCATCCCAAAACATCTAGGTTAGAAGCTTTCAAAACGCAATCAGATCTCAACCGATCAAGCAGAGAAAAGCGAACAATAATTATGTATGAAAGGTAATAAATATAAATGTATTCTCAAAGGATGTTGTTATTACCCTTGCCTCTTGGTTTTGGCGCCGGTTTAGAAGTGGCAACCGACGTCATGGCTGCATCTATCTTTTCTTTCATGAAAGCTATTTTATCATCTTTCAACCAAACGCTCGTATACCACGATGGTTTGTCCGAATTCATTGATATCATAGTGTTTTGTTTCTTTTTCTTCTTGGTCTTATTTCTTTTTTTTGTGGGGTTTATAATTTGTTATAATACTAGTTTTGTTGTGTATTAATCTACTAGTTTCAAGACAAGAAAGAAAAACTCTATACACATGGATTCCGAATATTTTTTTAAAATAAACGCCTTGTTGATCAACATATAAGCAAAACTCAAAAATCGCATGCAGTGTACACATTCTAAAATATTCGATTCTCTAATATTTCTAGAGAATTTTTGAGAAATACCCCTTTTGTTATACCTCTTTTTAAAAATACCCCCTTTATCTATCCATTTTCAAAAATACCCCTTTTTAAATATAAAAAATTATAAAGTTTTATATAGTTTATAACGTACTTCTATATAATAACTACTACTAGGAAATTCGATACAAATATTTTAAAATGTTTTAAATAGTTTAAATCGTTTTTATAATTTTATAAGGTTTTTAAAGGTTTTTAAAAGGGTTTATACGGTTTTTATAAGGTTTTTATAAGGTTTTATAATTTATTTTTACGCTATTTATGAAAGGTATATAAAGTTTTATACACATATAAAGGTAATTTGTGTATATATTTATAAGCTTACAGACATATTTGGATAAATTTCAATATTTTTAGTGGGTTTTTGATAAAGTTTGAAAATAGGGTATTTTTAAAAAAAAAGTATATGAAAATGTGTATTTTTGAAATTCCCCCATATTTCTACGCAAACCAAAAAAATACATGGAAAAAATATTTTCTTAATATATAAAAGAGTGAGTTCTTTTACTTGACAGGGACACAATAGACAGAACTGAGAAGTGGATGCTAGACGCATACCAAGTGTACATTACATTGTTTTGAATAAGTCGACCTATTTTAGAAAGTTTACATTACATCTCACAGTAGAAAGAACTGAGAAGTGGATGCTAGACGCATATAATAGACCTACTTTGATATATATTACATTGTTTTGAATAAGTAGGGAGATTTGACGACAAAAAAAAAAAAAAAAAAAGAAGAATAAGTAGGGAGATATTAAAATTGTTGGTCTGACTTAACATGTATTTCTTCAATAGATATTTGTTTTTGTTTATCGAAAGACCATTTAAGATATGTTAATTTTGCAGGATTTGTGCTAATTCTTTTAAAAAGTGTGTCAAATATAGTAAAAAATATATTTTAAAATAAATATAAAATACAAACCTATATGGATTATTAATGTATATGTCTCAAATTCAATAATTTAGTACTATTTCTAATGAACAACATTCTTTAGTAAAAGGCAACACACATCCCAAACAAATCAGTAACTTTCATAATATATAATATACATATCTTAGAAACTAGAAAGAGCAATTACATAATATATTGAAACAAATCAGTAATTTTCATTAAGTCATTAATGAGTTTAACAATGATGAATGAAAGATTATAAATATAAGTGCATTCTCGGTTTTGGCCAGAAAATCTCTCGTCATTCAACTAGATAACTAATCTTTAACTTTGTAGTATTTAAAACAAATAATTACTAACTAGATAAAAACTACTCACTAATAACGAAAATAAAATGACTTGGTCAACTTAAATTCACTTAAATTCGACAATTTATTTATTTGTCTACTAAAACAGTTCGATTTTATTTTTTTCGTACATAAAGTTGTAGTTTGGTCTTTTATTACAACATCCCAAACTTTTGCATAAAACAGCTAAGCGTTTACCGACAAAACACAAAACAATAACCGCTTTTAACAAGTTTGATTACTTACAAAACGGCGTCGTTTTACGTATTAACATTATCATTCCCTCTCGGTTGCTTCTTCTCAAGAAGACGATCACGAAGAAAAATATTTGCAGAGACATTGTAGCCCGAGAGAACATTTTGTTGCTTCAACTTCACTTAAGGTATCATCAATCTCTAAAATCTCAATTTCCCTTTAGCGATTTTTTTCGTTGAATCGATTCTATCTTCAATCGATTGTCGGAAAACCAAAGAAGATCTCTTTAGATGATACTTTGACTTTTTTGTTTTCAAAATTATTTGTAAGATTTCAATTTTTTGTTATGAGGGTTTGATATATAAATCCTAAAATTCAAATTTTGATTAAAAAAATTGAAACTTTTTGGGTTATTGAAGTTCTGTGGCATTGCAGTTAGAGAAAAGAAGCTTTCTTGAAGAAGATCAATGGCTAATGATAGAGAAGAGTTTAACTTATGTGGACCTTCTCATCTCACAACTGTTGATTGGTATGTTTGTGAGACTCTTTAACTATTTGTGTTCTTGATTTGATCTTAGGATTCAAGTTTGGTTTTGTTGTCTGATGGGACATTGTCTGTAATAAATAGATCTTGTGACCAATTTGTATAATTGTAATGATGGTGTGACTTGTTTGTTAATAGAAGATTTGGTTAGATTTATCAAATGGGTTCTTGAAATTTGTGTTTTTTCTTCAGGGGAAATGAAGATCATCAACGTTGTGTAGCAGCTTGTTTAGTACAAGGTATATATATAGTAGAGCGTGATCGTCAGCTTAAACGTGAAGGCGCTGAAGCTCTTGCATCACCTTGGTGGGAGTCCTTTAACTTCAAGTTGATTCGTCACCTTAAAGATGATGCTGATTTCTCCATCTTTGGCGGCATTTACGAGTACAAACCGCAGCAACCAGATAGTGTTGACGCTGGAGTTCCGCGGTATGTGATAGCCTTTAGAGGGACATTGACTAAAGCGGATTCGATAACTCGTGATATTGAGTTGGATATCCACATTATTCGGAACGGGCTTCACAGGACATCGCGTTTTGAGATCGCGATGCAGGCTGTGAAAAGCATGGCTGAGTCTGTTGGTGCTTCAAGCTTCTGGCTGACAGGACATTCTCTAGGTGCAGCTATGGCGCTCCTCGCGGGGAAAACAATGGCAAAGAGTGGAGTATATATCAAATCTTTGTTGTTCAACCCTCCATTTGTGTCTCCCCCAATCGAGAGGATAGCAAACGAAAAGGTTAGGCATGGGATTAGATTCGCCGGGAGCCTCATCACAGCAGGGCTAGCTCTGTCCAGAACCATCAAACAAGCACAGCAGCCGCAGCCACAACAACAGCAACTGCAAATACGAAACTTATCTGAAGATCCACTAGAGGCACTATCTTCATGGCTCCCTAACATACATGTAAATCCAGGGGACCATCTATGTTCAGAGTACATCGGGTTTTTCGAGCACCGGGGGAAAATGGAACAGATTGGGTATGGAGCCGGAATAGTGGAACGGATGGCGATGCAGCATTCTTTGGGAGGTTTGCTGATGGATGCAATGGGAGTGAGCAATGCAGTTGAAGTAGAAGAGCCTGTTCATGTAATCCCATCTGCAAATCTAATTGTAAACCAAACTAATTCTGAAGATTACAAGGAAGCACATGGGATACACCAATGGTGGAGAGATGACCAAGATTTGGCTTCTCACATTTACATGTACAAATAACTCTTCATTCTTTCTTTCTCATTATTAAGAATTTGTTTGTTCGTATCTTTGTTTGTAATGGTAATGGAGACAATGTAAGAAAATTATTCTTAACTATGTAATAGTTTTGTTTGTACATATTACTAAGACTCTTGCTTATATGTAGTCTTGTGGTTATAGCATTTGAATTTTGTGCCATTGCCTGGTTAATATGTAGTTGAAATGAAGGTAGGACTAGTCTCTTAGCCAAACCTGTGGCAGAGATTTATCAAATGGGTTCCCATCCACAAAGCCGGTTCACCACATCCTATCCACAAAGCTAATTGTAAATCATACATACAAGGATGAAGCTCATGGGATTCACCAATGGTTTCCAACATTTACTTGTACAAATAGCTCTCTTCTTTTGCAATCGTTTGGTTCCTACATTTTCTTTGTTACCAAAACATTGATGTGCAAACAATTGTTGATCGAATCCGCTTTTGTTTTGTTTTACCAGAATGATCTTTCGTATCGAAAAAATATGTCAATGCTGACGAATGAAGAACATGATACTTTTGGTTGCAATAAGTGTGAAATTTTAGTTTTCCCACAGAGCAATAGTGATGCAATCAGAGTACATTCATAGGCCATAATCACAATTCACAACCTTTAAAACACGATAATTCTTCGCTCCTACCACCAAGAAACAGCTAAATGTTGTATCAGTTATTCACCTAGTGCTAATGTGGATGGCTTATTGGTAAGCAAAACATAAAAAGATGTAGTAGCAGAGGACCTTATAATGTAATGATATCATTCTATAGTGTTGTTTCTTTTTACAGCCGAAGAAAGAAGAGGACAAAGAAACATGTTCAAGATTCAGCCTTAAACAAGAAGAAGAAGCAAAAAGAAAAATGCTCAACGAATGGGAACTTTGATCCAGCCATTGGCGAAAGCAATAGCTAAGATGACGAATGGTGTTGACATACCAAAGATGATAATGTAAGGAAGTGGCGTCTTCATTGGATTCTCTCCTTCTCTTTCACCAGCACTTTGCCAATACCTACACATTTGCAATACAAATCTCATCCTTAACCATTTCATCAATCACCAATGATATGTTCTTTTGACACTACACTAGCACGAGTTCTAGTCAACAACATGCATTATGCGGATTTAGACTCTAATAGTGACAATATAGTGACACAAACAACATAGACTACATTATTACATATCCTTGTCAGTTTTCACATACCATTTCCCTAAGTTCTTTCTGTAATTTCAAGATTTGTGTGTTTCTACAATTCTGTGATATGAAAATGAAAAGGTAATGATAAACTAACTGTTCTGGTTCTTCCTCTTTGGTTATGAACTTCTTTTTTTCTTTAGGCTTCACTTCTCCATCTCCCCCACCTTAAAACAAGAACCAAGGGTTTAACAAAATTATCATCTAAAAACAAACAAAAAAAGTGAAAATTTCTGATTCAAATGAGATAAGAGCTATAGTACCTAACTTGGCATGAAGCTTGAACTGTTGAGCCCCTAATGGAGATGGTGGGCATAGGAACTTAGGCAAAACAATGAAAGATGAATATGAAGAAGATGATGAGGTTGATGATGAATCATTAGTTTTGTGGCTAAAGGAAGAAGTGATTTGAGAGGAGGAAATGTGGAATTTGGCTGCCATTTTCCAAACAACACCAAATCCTCCAATACGTTTTTGTTTTGTTTTGTTTTATGTCACACAGATTTTGTTTTAGTTAGGAGAGATACATGTGGCATTGTTATTACCACTGGATGGATGGAGAAACCTTATCCTCTTTATATATCTTTTATTTTTGTTCTGATGTTTTTTACATTAGCACTTAAAACATTTGAACTAAACCAAGTCAATTTAATAAATGAGAGAATGTGTAAACCAACCCTTAGCAATTTCTTCCAAGGAAAAAAGAACAAAACAATTATAACTAATTTAATTAATAATACATTAGTTGAACTATAAAAAAATCAACATTATATACTTTGTAATTTCATGCATTGCACTCGTTGTTAAGAGCATCTCCAATGGAAGTTTTAAGATAATTATTTAAAAGAAAAAATATTAAAAATAATAAACAGTTTAAGTTGGTGCTTATTGACTTATTGTAGAGCTTTAAAGACGGGTTCTTAAGTTATTACATACAGTTGTTACAATCCAATTCACTACTATACTTTTTAATTATTTAAAATTTAAATTAAAAACTTGATTTATTTGTTAAAGGTAAATTAATATGTTTAAGAACTTTTTGCCAGTTTTAGCATTAGAGCTGGTCTAAATCTTGTTAGTTCTCCTGATCCGATTCAAATCCCAAAAATGTTTGAGTTTCGTCCAGCCCAATTTGTGTACTTATATAACTTGTGCTATATCATTATTTTGTATGAATGGCATTATATAATATAAAATAAATAATATAACAAATAAATTATAAAATAGTTATAAAAAATTACAATAATTAATAATATATATTATATAAATATTTTATATTAAGAAGTAATTGTTAAATAATATAAGTAATTATATACTTATATTAAATACTTGTACAAGTATTCTTATAAAACAAAATATAACCCGTGCTATAGCAGGGGTACTGATCTAATTTACAATTAAGAGTTAACATAAGTATTTTGGAAGTTTAATTTCTAATTGAATTGTTGGTACTTTACCTTAACTATTTAATATTCATAATCTCTAACCACTTAGGACATCTCCAACCCACTATATTTCATAGTCACAACTCTATTTTAGAGTAACATTTGCTCCCACCCTATTCTATATTGTGCTCTAAAATAGAGTAAATTATAGAGTTACTCAAAATATATAGTATCTCTATTTTCTACACTACCTCATTTTTAGAGTAAGAAATAGAGTAATACATATGGATCAAAACAATGCTCTACTGTAAAGAAAATGATAGAGATATGCATTGGAGATAGTCTTATATTGGTCAGAAAGTTGAAAATTCTGACCAATTTAATGACTATAACCAATTTCATTGTGAGATTTATTTTAATAATTTTTTTTTTCAAAAAATTTGATCAAAATCAATTTGCAATAACAATTTTTGACGGCTTGATTTTGGTAAAAAAAAAGTAATCATAATTGATGTTTTGACCAATTTTACGAAAGTTATGTAACGTTATAATTTAAGATATTTAAGCAATTATTCTATATATAGTATGATTATTATATATGATTTATCATTATTATTGTATATAAAATTTGTGATATAATTATTTTTATTTGCCATCATGTAATTTGTTTTATGATCCATAAGTTATTGTGTTAACAATTTATCGTTATTGCCACAGATTTATGAATAGTTCTTGACAATGCACTGAATGGACCCATTTTTTTAATTTCAAAACTTACCTTCCAAACTGTTGGTGCTAAAAAATAACTTTGAAAAAAATATGTATATTTTAGGCTTTTAAAATTTAGCCCAAATCCGACTGGGATTTACCTAGCATTTATATATACACACACGTTAGTTTTATTCAAAGATTATAAAACTTTATAAGATAACAGAAAATTAGTGAAATATTTCATTTGTGCAAAGATCCACTTTAAACCCAAAAGCGAAAAGTATTGGGTCAAATTAAACAAAGCTCACTTGTTCAAATTTTCAAAAAGTCACATTAAAAAAAAAAAGTCAATGAGAAAGCTTTAAGGGAAATTGCCTCAAAAGTAGAACTGTCAAAATGGGCTGTCAACGTCCATTTTAACATGTCCAATATTGTCATTTTTGATTATTGACAAATTACTGACTGTTTCCATTAACAACATGACCATTAACGACTATTTTTTTATGGATCGTCCATTGGTGTCCATTGGACATAAAAACTACATATTTTGTAAAATGAAAAAAAAAATACAAACACAAATTTTTAAGCATAAAAATTTAAACACAAATGTCTAACATGAATATCCAAAGATCAATTTGGTACAAAAGTCTAACCTATAAAACACAGCTTCTTAATACATCTTGTTTATATGTTTTATATTACACTCTATTTCATGAGGAAAGTTTGAATTAAACTAAATCAATTTAATAAATGATAGAATGTGTAAACCATGCATTTTAAAAAAAAATAATGCAAACTAGATTGATAATTGTGCTTTTCCTGTGTGCTATAATTTTTTTATTGTAATTTGTTTTTTAATAAGTTAAGTAAATTATTACTATTTTTGTGTTAGAATATAACGCATGTGAATGGTTATTAGCTTAATTAAGTTAAATAAAGTGCATAAATTGATAAATTTTCTTTGTTTGTTATATTATATGTTATGTTTTCTTTGTTGGCATTCATGGTGTCCAGAAGTATTATTCTAAAATCTAAACTATTTATTTTTTATTTAACCAATCTATTATACTTTAAATGTTTTTGCATGTTAATTATTATTAGAGTGATTAGATTAAATAGTATAGGTTAATTCTTAATTCAATGGAAAAAAAAAATTGTTGGTGTTGTAGGTCTCGATTATGCGTTTTAAACACTACATAAATTCTAATAATAATTTATTTTTGTTAATGTAGCAATTATATTGTACAGTTTGAAATGGTGTTATTTTATATGTAACAGAGACATATATATATACAAACGAATGATGCTATTTGTATTCTATTAAAGTGATAAAAAGTATCATGGTATTACACACAATGCCCATTATTACCGTTAGCAGAAACCAAAGTACAACTCATCATAACTCAAAGTACCAAATCGTGATTTTATTATAAGATTTGTTAAGTTTTGGAAACATGAAGTGATACAACAAAAACAACATTTTGAATTCATCTAGCTGCAACAAGGACGGTCAAAACCACAATTGGAACAGCTTTTACCATTACGATTATGATCGTTAATGTAGCCACAATTATAACAGCTTCTACCAACAAGAGAAGCCTCTAACATCTCCACAGTAAGATCAGGGAAGCTATCAGCGAACAACTTGAACTTATCAAAGCTAGGTATCCTAAGTTCATTAGCTTTAATATAACTCAAGGCTGCATCGTTGAGGGCTTTGTCAAAAGGGGTTTGAGCAAGCTCAAGGAAGTCAAGAGCATTCTCCATAGCTAGAGAAGATATAAGCTCGGATCTGCATAGCTCTCGTAGTTGTAGAATCTTGTATTTGTCAGCTGCAAGATAGAGAGCTCGAACGTGTTGCTTCATTTTGGAAGAAAGCATGGAACCATCACTATATATGAACTTAACAAATATAGCTCTTTTTGTTTCATCTCTGGGAGAGTGATTGTTTCTATATTCTTACCAGAAGTCTTGAACTCATCTGATTTTAACATCTTCTTAAGAACCTTTGATCTTGATGCCTATACGAATAACAAACATACACAAACGAAAAGTATAGGATAGTTTTTAGAATCTGATTCTTGAATTAGATTATGATATCAAGAAATAGATTGTGAAAGAAGTAAGAAGAAACCAGAATAACTTTGTGGGCAGAGATAAATGAACCCTCACTATCCACTGCCTTGAGCTATACGTCAACTAGCCATTTCTCTGCTAAGATCTTTGCAAGTCCATCCGAGAATTGCTCTTTGCTGGTTTGTGATGTTGCCATATCAATAGTGTGAAGTACGTTTTGACGTTGTAAATGATGGTTGATTATATAGAGAGGAAACCATTACATGCAATGGTCAAAGTTAGAGAAGACATCTAGTTCCAATTTTCAAGACTTTGGAAATAGAGAAGACATAGCAAGTATAGTTTTTCAAGACTTTGGAAATATTATAGAGAAGACACAACAAAAATAGTTTTTCAAGACATTGGAAATATATAGAGAAGACACAACAAATATAGCTTCTCGAGACCTTTGGTAATATATAGGCAAAGTATTCATAGGCTTTTAGTTTAGATTGTTGTTATTGATATGGACCTTACTTCAGAGAATCATGAGCACAACTTGTGTGAAGTCCTTGAAGCATGTTTTTAACTTACTCACCCAATTTAAAAACAACCATTGTTACAAATTTAATATCACAAAAGTAGTTGTTGTGATAACAGAAAATTGCTAATCCTTATTCATCATGAATATTTATGTGAGAAAGGTCAGAGTGAATCTTGTAGATTTGATTGAATATTCTTATTAAATTTTCAATTATTTGTGATTTAATTAATTTTTTCCTTAATTAGGGAGATATATGGTCATAAATACATATATTAATTTGCCTAAAATCTTAGTTCAAGGAAATAAATAAAAAGCCATTGAGCTAACAGATTCATTAATAAAAACAAGTCATTTAGCTTTGATATATCTCATTCTTTTTTTCTCATTTGCTAAATACCTATAATTTTTGTTTGTGTTGATAAAAAAAAACATATCCATTACAAGATTAAAGAAAAACTCATGCTTATGCAAATTTCTTCTCAATTTGTTGAATCATGAGATTTGCTAGTTTATTTGTGGTTTCTTGTATTTTCATTTTCCTTGTTATAAACCATGTCAAAGGTAAGAAATTACTCTCCTTTCAAATTTAGATTTTTACTCGCGCAATATAAAATAACCATTGTTATAAATTTCATGTCGCAAAAGTGTGTTGTGATAAAAGAAAATTGCTAATCTTCATTCAAACATTCATATTTATATCAAAAAAATTATTATGAAATATACAATTTTAACAAATTTCTTTTTGGTTTATACAAAATTATAGAGGTCAAAGCTGTGCAATGTGAAATTATCGAGTGGTTCGATGATAAATGTGGTGCTGATGGAAGCAAGACATGCATAGATCACCTTATCAAAGGGCACATATATGACTTTCCTCGTTGTGATTGCCTTGACGTGAAGCCATCAGGAATTTTGTGTACATGTTTACATCGTCTTCCTTGTGTAGATCTACCATATATGCATAAAAAATAAATTAATTAAGTGATAAACTTGTAATCTACTATGTGTAAGAAAATAATCAAATATTATAAAACTTTATAAATATTTTTATCTTTGAATACTCCTTAGTCCTTATAGCTTAATCATCACATTTGCATATGGATTTTATATAAAAAAAAATCACCTCAAATCCTATTGAAACCGTGTAACTATATAAATTTATCTTTAACTTAAAAATCATCGAAACCATTTCAACGTTATTAAATCTATTAAAATTTCCAGTAAAAATGGATTTAGAAGTCTTTTAAAAAATATCAATAGTTCGATAACAATGGATTTTATAATTTGTTTATGAATTTTATGTTTGAATAACAAAATATTAATTATTTCAACATCAATCATTCCAAATGGTTGACTAAATACACATACATGTTTGAAGTAATTAAAATTATTATTGCCAAATAAAATCAGTTTTCTGATCCAAATATTAATTTGTAAGATAATACATATTCTTTCACAATAAATTTTGGATGACTTAAAATATCAATTTGTATAAGGTTGGTTAACAAATCTATCTATTTATAGAGGTCCATCTTACTATATATGAATGCCTAAATATTTATTAATATATTTGTGTAAATGAAGTAAGATATGAGTAAATATTTAAAGAGAACTAGAGAAGTCTCCTCCTAAATCCTAATCATCATGGAGAATGCAACATTCTAACTAACTTACTCGCAAAAAGTTTGATTGCAAATTTTGTAGTTGAATTCTTTCTTTTTTTTAGAAACAAAATTTGCAATTGAAGCAAGTAATTTAATTTGATATTCATTGTTTTTTCGGTTTAAGTAAAAAAATAAATCCATTAGTCAACAATTTTAATGGCAGAATAGTTGGTTTCTGTACCAAGAACAGCTTTGAAGTAGGCCAATTCCAATTAACAAATAAAATCAAAAATAAAAATAGTATTGGTTCAATGTTCACATGAGTATGACATATTCATCAAAGTGTAACAGCAAGAGTATGCGCTAAAACATAGTTAAATGGTTCAGTGATTGTATACACAACGTCACACCACTCAAGTGTCCATGAAATATCCTATTGGTGTCTTTCAAGTGCAACTACCGCACACCATACCAATTTCTTGTGAAGGCTGTACTCATACTCATACGTATACACATCTTCTTCCCACAAAACCGCCAACTTGCCACCATAATCCGTCACTTGAGCAGCACCATAACACTCATACCGCGACCCGAACAAGCTTTCCAAACCCTTAACACTTGTCCAATATTTTTCGTCTGGGTTGTAGTAACCAATACTCCCGTCACTACAACTATATAACACGTTCTCTATTACACATAAAGATGATGACAAAGACCAACACATGTCCATAGCTAGGTCTGCCTCTCTCCATCTACCTTTACCTTTACTCAGCTTGTACGCCCCATATCTCTCAAGAAACTTTATATATATATATATATATATATATATATATATATATATATATATATATATATATCCATCATACCCTACGCTTTGATACTTATAAGTATAACCATCCGTTACATATCTTCTCGCTATGACTTGACAACTCAAACTCCCAATTTTGAGTTATTGTATCAAATACCTCCATCCAGTTAGTTGCATCAAGATTTTTGCAACCTCCTATCACATATATTTTTCCATCAAGAATGGGGCCTCACTCCATGTATGAGAACGACAGTCCATGACCTTGACACTATAGAAGATGCATTATCATTATTATTATCATCCTGTACGAATCCGCCAATGGTTGGCGGAGCTAGAAAATCGGATCATGAGGGTAAAAACAAATTATAATATGATTAATTGTGTTATTAAAAAATTTTATAGGGGTCAATTGTGTTATATTACAAGGATCAATTTGATTTTTTTCCTAAAAATACATCAAATTTTGAAAATTTACCAGGGTCAATTGACCCTCATACCACTACCCTACCTCCGCCCCTGGTATATATATTATAGCCAACCTTTGCACAATCTGAGTCGTACGTCGCGGAATTGGGAGATGTAATGGGGACCAAAACATTCTTGGAGCTATTTGGTTTCCGACAGAGAGTGAAACATTGTTCTTGTCGGGTTTTTATGGAGTTTGAAGCACACGTAGAGACAACTCTCTGTCCAGCCTAAGAGGATTCGGGTTTGGTAAAGCTCAGTTGAAGCAAGAAGAGAGCGTAATCTTTTGGAAACTAAGGAGAGAGTGTGGTAGTACAATCTTGGAACACGGGCTAAGCAGTTTAGTATCAAATCATTAGGAAGCATCATCAACGTCATTGGCTCTTCTCCATTCATGGTTATGGATTGCTTTTTCTCTATGGTTGTTCTTTTATATATATATATATATATATATATATATATATATATATATATATATCAATTGTAAATTTCATTAATACGAAGATGATTTGTTATTTATATACATCTCTAAAGATTGCATTAGCCTAGAAAAAAATCGATCCATATCTAAACCAAATTTAAGGGTTATTTTAATTATTTATTCGATTAGATAACAATGAAAATATTTAATTGAAAGGATCTTTACTCTCTTTTTTTCTATATACAAAAAAATATAAACTCCAAAACTTTTCTTCTCATCTTTTATTTGTATAATTATGGTTTTAATATTTGTAAATTAATAGTAAAAATTCTTTAGCAAAGACCCGACCTTGCTAGCATAGTAGCATGTTGTTCATTCATTATTTTCATAAGCTAAATTGCTAAACGCTATCACCATCTTTATCATCCATTTAGGAGGTTCATGTATACATGAAAATTATTATCCCTATGGACTTAATTAGATGCATACTGCAGACTCACCTGATAGACCTTAATTAGATGTTCATATTAGCTTTTCCCATGAACAAGATCGAGAGAGATGAAACAGAATCTGGGAAAAGATAATTTTTTCATTCAAGTATAAAAGGAGATACAAATTAAGATTAAATACAAGTGAAACTAAACCACTATGCTAACCAAACTATACAAGAGACTAAACCAAGCTAAACCAACTATATACATTCTCTAATATAGACCTTGCATGCATCTCAAAACCCTAGACCAGATACGTTTTAATAACCATTTTAAGTTACTTCTAAGTTCTAACCCTAGCATAAGACTAAAGTGTCAAGATCATAAACACAAGTTATTTGGTCTAAGTTCCTTATGGTCGTCCAATTTTTATAGAAAAAATCGTAGAATTAGGTGCTGTTTTCTTGTAGTGCAATAAGCATGCATGTTTTTCTGTTCTCCGGTTAGAATTTTTTTAAATCGGTAAATTTTGTTCGGACTATATATGTATATTTTGGTATTTTTAGTTGAATTTTGGTTTAATCTCGTTATTTTTGTTTTCTTATTTAACTAAGAGTAACTGACTGGTCGTCTCAATAACCAACACAAATCTCAATTCCACCTAACTGAACCGATTCCCAAATCTGTATTGAACCAAACACTAAAAAAGTAGGTTCAAGGTTGGTTCGGTACAATCGATCCGGAGCAAAACCGCAGACCTAGTGCGTACGTGTGTTATTGGATTTATTGTGAAGTAGCAAACCCCACTAGCTCTGCCACTGATTCTCATATACGTATATCTCAAGCTCCTTTTAGCTATGTTGACTTAGATGGATATTTTGATCAGAACCGGCTTAATTGACTTAATTTTAGCCAAGCAATTTTCCAATTAAAATCAAGAGGATGAAAATAGCCAAGCAAAACTTTGCTTCCTTTAAAAAGTTATACACCTTAGTCCTTTAGTAGTGCACTAGTGCTTTACACATTGCTCCTCTATCTATGGTCTACTGATCACTACATATAGTTCTGTCTTTATAGGACTTCTTAATTAAAGTATGTCGACTGAGTTTTTTCACAGCATCTTTAGAAGTTACTACTATAAGTAGTGGACCACATACTCCATATAATAACATAAGATAAAATTATTATTATTATATAATTTTTTTTTAATAATCAAAAAGGTTTTCGACCAAAATCTATATATCTTTTCATACACGAAACCAGAGCATTTTATATGTTCTCGTTCCAAACGCTACTGCAACCGGCGACCTCTAAACTTTTGTCAGAAATTTTTACTATTAATCCAGTAACATGTATTTAAACCCATACATGTATTGCCGAAAAAAAAAAAAAAAAAAAAAACCATACATGTATTTAACATAAATCCAGAAATCTAAGCGCTACTACTATATAATTTAAAGAATATGTATTTACTCGATCATCCAATAATAGATTTCTATAACATGTGTGCTGATTCGAATAATTCTTAATCACGATCGAGTGGGGTTTGCTATTTTTAGAGTTCCAAACTTATTCACAATAAATCCAATAATACACACATAAGGGACCATTATACACATCATTTGATACTTATCTCCTTACCACTTTGTTTTCTAACTAGTGTGATTCATCGTTTTCTTGACTCTTCTTTTGTTTCATGATTCATTGGTATGTTTTTTTATAAATAGAGAGCATGCATGGTGGCATATTCTTGTATTCATCACCTGTTCTTCCATTGATGGCTTCCAAGACTTTGTTTCTTTTGGGTCTACTCGCATTTCTTCTCGTCTTCTCAGAAATGGCCTCAGCTGGTAAGTTTTATAGCTTCTCATTCATATCACATATGAAAGGTTAACTAAGAATTATTTTTCATTGTAATGCACAGTTGCTCGTCCTAAACTATATATTTTAAATAATATGGTGTCTTGGACAGACACGGCCGTGAAGACAAAGAGTGAGGAAACTGTACAACCTAATAGTGGCCCTGGAGGAGGAGTAGGAGGAAATCACTGCCGCCACGGCTGCTGCGCCAAAGGAGGTATCCGTAGCTGCCCAAGGTGTTGTGCATATGTCGGAGAAGCTGTGGTCGTCACTTGATCTACATAATATATATCAACCACTATGTTACGATTGCATCTATATAAACACTTACGTGTGTGTATTATAAGTTAACCATGCATGGTGTGTTTTGTAATGAAGTGCCTCAAGTATAACTAAGAAGGGAAACTATTGGAATAAAGTTTTGGTAATGTAATGTCTCCATGTTTGCGTTTCGATGTAATTAATATGCGCTGTGTTTCATAATAAAACATCGTTACTAATATTGTCGAGGATAAAACAAAGAGCCACGACTAAACACATCTAATACTTATAGGTTTCATAAATCAATAATGTATGTAGCCATCATGTGGCGTAAGAAAAATTAATATTGACATGTATATTTCGTTAGACATGGTAATATTTATTTGTGTCTGTTGATAAGACATGGTGACGATAAAAATTAAACATCCAACAGTTGAGATTTATGTTTTCATGAAACTAATTATTAGAGAATGTATATAGTTGGTTTAGCTTGGTTTAATCTCTTGTATAGTTTTTTAATTTTTTTTTATTTAGTAATTTTTTTTTAACTCAAAGTAACTCCCCATACCTATAGAAGAGTCCGAAACTAATCCATGAAGAAAGGGTATCTGACTGTTCATTTAGGAAGAATCGATCCATAATCTATACCAATAAGGCGACTTTTCCACCATATTAGAACTATTAGCCCACCACCTCGTGGTTTCATATCTTGTATAGTTCACTTGTATTTGAATCTAAAATTTGTACCTCACTTTACACTTAAATGAAGAATAATATATTTTCTCCGATTATGTTATCTCTCGAGCTCTCTCTAATGGAGAAAAGTTAATACCAATGCGTATGATTTCTTATTATTAAGTTTCCGTAATAAACCAATATCCTTTTTCCAACTGAATCCTAACATCAAGTATATGCTTGTTTAGTGTATTGTGCATTTTCTTCATTTTGCTGTTTACATATTATTTGGTTACATTTCGATATTCCTCATCGTTTTCGTTACATTTATCAAAATTGTGTATTCGTTTTTTTTTCTTCCAAAAGTATGGTTTCAGTTTTGCTGTTTATATATTACCAGTCATTATATATTACACAAAGCATAGAAAATTAGTAAAAAGAACAGAAAAGCCAAATTTTAAAATACTAATTTATATATTAATTATATTACACACACAATGATGAATTAAAATGACATATATAACAAATCTTATATTTTAAAATCTTCGTGTTTGTCTGTGCGGGTCGATTTCCTAGTTTAAATTAACAGTAAAACCTTTAGCACGGAGCAAATATTTTCACGACCAAACATCCTTATGGACTTACATGCATACCGAGACTCACCTAATTTACCTTGTATGCAAAACCGTTGACGAGATACGTTTCTATAACCATCTTTAAGATTCAGTTACTTCTAATCCTAACATAAGACTAAGTGTCGAGATAAACACAAGTTATTCAGTCTAAGTTCCTTATGGTCCAATAAGAATTCATCTAAGTACATAAAGTCATTGGCAGAGGTTTATCAATGGAAGCTTGAGATAAGTATCCACTACAAGAAAACAGTATATTTCTGAGGGATAGAATCATCGCAATCCCTCGGAAACAGCTCTTTCTGACGGGTTTCCGAGGAAAAAAAGTTTTTGGAAATTGCTCGTCGGAAATAAAATGTCTTTGGAAACTCGTCGGAAATTTCCAAAGGATTTCCAAGGGACATTTATTTCCGAGAGATTTCCAAGAGATAATATTTCTGAGGGATTTCCGAGAAAGGTATTACCAAGGGGTTTCCAATAGACTTTTTCCGAGGAATTTTCGAGGGTCTTATATTTCCGAGGGATTTTCAAGTGACCATTTTCTGAGAGATTTCCGAAAGATTATTTCCAAGGACCTGAATTTCCAAGGGCATTCCGACGACGACGGAGTTTTTAGCAAAACTGTAATTTTGATTATAATTACGAATTTTTTTTTTGAAACAATAAATAAAAATGCCAAAATGCTAAAATTAAAATATCCAAATACAAATTGTCCAAATAAACAACAATAATACCAAAATTAAAATAGTTTTGAAAAACAAAAAAAAAAACAAAATAGTTTTAGGGAGGCGGGAATTGTCACGGAAATTTAGACGAAATAAAACTTTGAAGTTGGGAAAGTGTCGTTTGAATCTCGGTGAATTGCTTCGTAATCTTGATATTTTGTTGCTTCAACTCTTTGACCGCCTCATCTTTTTCTTTCACGATTCGGTTAAGATCTTGAATTTGTTGAATAAGTTCATTGTCTCGGAGAAATGCCGAAGAGATACTTCTGTCTTGTGACACAAGACTTCCTAATCCGGATCTCCGACCTTTGGTTAAAGGAATTTCCTAAACAAACAAAAAACATATAAATAATTGTTTAAAGTAAATAATAAAGTAAAACTAAAAAATATTCAAATATACCTCAACACACAAACGGTGGATTTCTTCATGAGGTAGATCGATTGAAGATGATGAGCCATTTTGAGAGAATTGCGTTAGCTGTTCCATCTTCTGGAGCTTAATCCTTTCTATGCGTTCTCCGACAATCGGATCTTGAATTTGTCCGGTTTTCTTGCTTGTGTGGGTTGTTTTCATAACATCTATCCAATCCGGCGCAACGCCTCCGTTTGCGATCATCTAAATTTAAAGAAAAATAAACAACATATCAGATCTAAACGTATAACTTTTTAAAAAATTGAATTAATTAATTGAAAACTTACCTTTTTTATCTCATGCTTTTTTATAGATATCGAACCTCCATTGTAGGTCGCTATACCCTTTCCACCATGTTCGCTCCTACGATTAGTTGATGCTTGTGACGAAATAAATATCGTTTCATCCATACTCCAATAGCGGATAAACCCTTGCCAAACTTCGGGGTTTAGACACTTGGGCATTTTTTTGCCTTCCTTCCACTTTTGCTTCCACGCATATATGTGATTTTGGTAGGATGTGTTGGCTTGAATGTCAAAAGCTCTTCTCACTTTCGGAGAATGACCGCTTTCCCAATTAAAATCTTGCTACAAATGGAAAAAAATATAACTAAAACAAATTTATGACAAAAATAATAATTAATGACAAATATAATAATTAATAGTTTAACTTACCGCAAAAGTCTTGAACCACATCTTTTTGATATCTTCGTCGACATCCCCGTAAGTCGGCCAAGGGTGATTCAATTGCGTCTTAAGAATATTAAGAATGGATTTTGTTATCTCTCCCTCTAATCCAAACATAGAGACATGTAAACTAATAATTAGTTAAGAATCAAATTCATCAATTTTATATAAGTAGATAAAATGCAATTAATTACCATGTAGATCCGTTTTCTTCATCCAGGTGGAGCCTTGGGATATGTTGACGGCCCGGTTGACTAACAAACTCTTCAATCGTCATAATCGGTGGTGGAGTGGAATTCCTTGTCTCGGGGTCACTGGAAGGAGATTGTGATGCTGAGTCACTTTGTGATCGTCGGGTTTGGAAACGGTTACATGACGTCCCTTGAAACTCCTCATAAGACCTAAAAAATAAATTTAGTAATAAGTAATCAACAAATAACAATAGGAAAAGTTGATAATTTATAAATATATTATTTTGTAATACAAATTTAGCAAAGTATGATTTAAGAAAATAATTGTTGTATCACATTTATTAAAAAGTTTTTTTTTTTTTTTTGTTATCATTACAAATTATATGTCTCTCTTTGAGAGGGACCGGACTCGAACCCGGATCTGGTGAGAAGGCAATAGAGGTGAGAACCACTAGCCCATTTGTCCTTCTCTATTAAAAAGTTTGTTTAACTAAAATCTAACTTTTAATTTTCTATAAATTTAAAAAACCAACAAATTTTTATTAAAAAAAAATAATTGTTGTATCAAATTTATTAAAAAAATCTGTTTAGCTAAAATCTAAGGGGAGGGGGGGGGGGGTTATTGGGAGGTTGAATCTAAAAGAGGTTGTGGATTTTAAAAGTTTTATATATTTTAAAATTCTCAAAGATTTTTGTAGATTCCAATAAATGTTTACTTAAGACTTTTAGAGTTTTAGTAGATTTTTAATATGATAGATTTTACAAATACTTATGATAAGTGTAATATTTTAAAAGTTGTTGTTAATAACCAAATATGTAGGAAATCATATTCCCAATAACACTAGAGTTTAATAGAATTGTAAAATCAATAAATACTCAAATTTCTGAATAACAAAGGATTTTAAATGAAATTACAAAATCAACACACCAATAACAAAAGACTTTATTAAGAATTTAAGAATCTATAAACCAATAACAATAGAATCTTAGACTCTAACAATCTTTAAAAATCATTCTCCCAATAACTCAACTTTTTATTTTCTATAGTTGTTAAAAACCAACCTAACACTAACAAGTTTAAAACCAAAATCCAATCAAAATGGGAGGTTGAATCTAAAAGAGGTTGTGGATTTTAAAAGTTTTATATATTTTAAAATTCTCAAAGATTTTTGTAGATTACAATAAATGTTTACTTAAGACTTTTTGAGTTTAGTAGATTCTTAATATGATAGATTTTACAAATACTTATGCTAAGTGCAATATTTTAAAAGTTGTTGTTAATAACCAAATATGTAGGAAATCATATTCCCAATAACACTAGAGTTTAATAGAATTGTAAAATCAATAAATACTTAAATTTCTGAATAACAAAGGATTTTAAATGAAATTACAAAATCAACACACCAATAACAAAAGACTTTATTAAGAATTTAAGAATCCATAAACCAATAACAATAGAATCTTAGACTCTAACAATCTTTAAAAATCATTCTCCCAATAACTCAACTTTTTATTTTCTATAGTTGTTAAAAACCAACCTAACACTAACAAGTTTAAAACCAAAATCCAATCAAAATGTTTAAATTTAATATCAATTTTATTACAAAATATAAATAAAACTATAATCTAATTTATATAATTCACTAATTCCAATCAAAATCAAAAAATATTTCAATCAAAATCATAGAACTAATTCTAATCAAAATTATAACACTAATTCCATATCAAAACCTTAATCCAATTCCATATCTAACCAAATCAAATCAAGATCTAATTCTATGGATTCCAAAATCTAATTCAAACAAGATATTAACAATTAAAAACTAGAATCACAAATCAAAATCATTGAATAATATTAAACTTACATGATTTTGAGCTTATGAAAAGATGGGAGGAAGAAGATGATGATTGAAGATGTTATCGCCGACGAGATGGCGAAGCAGTCTCTCGGAGGCGACGGAGAGTCCAACGGTGACGAAGAGTTGTGGGATGATTGAAGCGGCTGAGGAAAAAAATCTTGTGTCCATGTATATATATATAAAAATTTCCGAGGGAATAACCCGTCGCAAATCCCTTGGAAACGTTTAGGGTTTTGCCGCAAGAATGAAATATAGGCGGCTAATAATTATTTTCGCACTGAAATCCGTCGGAAAATCAGAATTCCTCGAAAAACCGTTGGAATATCACTGCATGTATATTTATTGGCCGGTCAAGCGTTTATAATTAAACCAAAATCGGAAGAAAGCCGGTAATTGCTCAGAAATTTCCAACGGTTTTCCAAGGGAATGGAAAATTTCTGAGAACTTTCCGACGACTTTTTTTTAATAAACAAATTTTATTAATTTGATTCATCTAAAGAGTTTTTTTAATGCTATACAAATACAGATTTGTGTTAAAACATTACATTTATATTAAATTAGATCAAAAATTGCATAATTTCTATAAATATAATTTGTTTTACTAAGTATCAACTATATTATCAAATATCATATCATCAACACTTAAGTGTCAAATACTCAGATATGTGATTTTTCAAGTTTTGCATTTTTTCTTTTTGCCTTATAATACTTTGTTATGTAATTATATTGACAGGTATGTCTTCTTATAGTATTAAACATTACATAAGATGCATCAAAACTCCAAAATTTTATAAAATATCTAACATCCCTCAGAAAATCCTCAGAAATTTCCGAGGGATTTCAGAGGATAAACCAATGTCCTCGGAAATCCGTCGGAAATTTCCGAAGATTTTCTGAGGACTTTCAGTTTTATTAAATATCTTACCATATTCATGAACCCTCGGGCAGTCCTCGGAAAAAACTGACGGATGTCCGAGGACTTTTTATTTCCCTTGGAAATCCGTCAGAAATATCCATATTGTGTATAATATGTTTCTTAGATTTATACATCTTTAAAAAAAGTATACAAAAATTATACAATAGTTGCAATATTTATTTATATTTATTTAGGATAATAGTTTTTGAAAACTTCATGAGAGATAATTTATTTCCACGTTTTTAATACATAAAACTAATTATTAAAAATCTAATAAAAGACAAAAGATATATAATTTATTCTTCGTCCTCTTCATCCGATGAGTATTCTGAATTCTCGATGAGTATTCTGAATTCACCTTAGCTAAATTCTGAGTATTTTAATTTGTGTCTGTTATTGGATTTATTGTGAATAAACTCCATAAGTAGCAAACCCCACTCGTATTTTGATAAAACTTAGCTAAGGTGACTTAGATAGATATTATCACAGCCGGCTTGACTTAGTTATAGCCAAACAAAACTTTGCTCCCTTTAAAACATTATACTCCTTAGTAATGACTTTACATACTGCTCCTCTATATGGTCTTTAATGTATAAGTATGTCGGCTGAGATTTTTCACAGCATCCTTAGAAGTATAAGTAATATATAATAAGAAAACATAACTTGATCATCCAATAACATGAGTGATGACTCTGATGAGATTAGATCTAAAACACGAGTATGGTTCCAAAAGTTACTCACTATAAATCCAATAACCAAACCATATGGGACCATTACACACTTGACACATCCTTTGATACTTATCCCCTTACCACTTTATCTTTTAAAACTTGTATGATTCATAGTTTCCATGACTTTTCTTTTCTTTTCTCATTCCCACCTCTCCTTGTATGTATTATCTATAAATAGTGAGCATGCAAGGTGACATATTATTCATCACCTGTTCTTGCATTACAAAGAGTGTGTTTTAACTAACTAAGCAGTACTTGTAAGAAAATGGCTTCCAAGACTTTGCTTCTTTTGGGTCTACTCGCATTTCTTCTCATCGTCTCAGACATGGCTGTTGCGGGTACGTTTTATATCTATATTTCAGTTTGCTTCATACATTATCAAAGGCTAAATAAGAAAAAAGTTGATGATGAGGGTAACTACACCTAAACTAACGTACAACTATTTCGTCAATTTTGATAAATTGATGAGAGTAAAACACATGCCAAATCTTATTATGAAATAACTATATTATTTTCTTTTCTTTGTACAACAAAAAAATGTACATAAATATGATATACTTTACCAGTAAAAGTAATTTTCTTATGCTAATAATATGAACAAATAATATCTATGATATCTCGATCTTATAATCTTTGCTTGGTTGATGTTGATTCGTTTTAGTTTGATATCCCAACAGTTTTAGTAAGAAAAGAAACTTAAGTATGATGTTAAATCCTTGTAGCTCGTATATTTTATGTTCTGTGCAAATTTTATATGGAACTTATAATATAAAAATAAATTACGTATTTGAAGTTTTGTGTAAATTTATTTTAATAAGTTCTAAAACTATATATTTGAAACAATTTGGTATCTTGGATAGACACGGTGAAGCCAAAGAATGAGAAAACTGTGCAACCTGATGGTGGAAATGGAGGCCACATGAGCCATCTATCTGATGGAGGAGGATACGCTGGAAATGGAGGTTACTGCCGCCGCGGCTGTTGCCACAGGAATGAACGTGGCTGCTCAGGGTGTTGTAGATATGCCGGAGAAGCTGTGACGATTCAGACTGGTCACTAAATTTACATAATATATCAACCAACATGTTATGTGTGTATTATAAGCTAACCATGCATGGTGCGTTTGTAATGAAGTGCTTAAGAAGAGAAACTATAATAAAAGTTTCTCAAATCGTAATGTAATGTCTTAATTCATGTTTGTGTTGTAATTTGTGTCGTTGTGTTTCATTCAGTAATAAAATATTGTTATCTTACGGTTTTGAGTAATAGTGAAATTTTATCAATTATTCGTAATCTTGGAAGGAATATGTATTTTTTTCATAAAACAAAAAATTACATAACATTTAGAGACTTTTATCGAGGTTTTGCTAGTCAAATGTGACAAAAATATCTTACAAGTTAACAAATGTTTTATCTCTTAATCTGGCATTGATTCCATAAATCGATATAGGTGCCACCCAACTACAACTACGTACAAGTTTAAACCGGCCCTATCATATTGTTGGAGACAAAACATTTGTACACATTCTAAAGAAGGAACTGCTCGATACATATTGTGATAATGGTAACGATGTTTACAGTTTGTGGGTGCATAAGTCAATTATTGCTAACTAGATAAGCTAGTGAATTAAGCAATGGAACTCCACTACTATTACATTCATATCAAAAACTTCTAAGTTCTAATTTTAAGCCTCGTGAATTAAGGATGTCAGGCCAACATGGTTATAAGAAGTGATTACAAAGCTCACATGCCTACGACACCCACTCCCAAATGCGAATTTTCATTCCCAATGAGCCTTAATTTCAACTTTGATACTCAAACCTTTTGGTTAGGACAGAGAGTTCGATTTTGGAAATAAAAAATCAAAGTCCTTGTCTCAAAAGAAAGTGTTTTGATTAGGTTGATAACTTGAAACTTCCAAGTTTTCGATTTCATTCAACTCATTCAAGTCCGGCCGCTCAATATTTTGGTTTTGTTCAATCTTGATTTTAAAATGTATCTTTCCCCGAACACAGACCTTCGAAATAGAAAACCTCATGTTTGTTAGATCAAAAAGAAATATTTGTGTTGTTTATATTAGATGCGTACTAAATTATGTGTATAGTAGTATGAAATTTCCGGTAGACTCCTAGATTGATCACCTTATTTTTATTGTCTTAGTGATAATTATGTATCTAAAAATTTTTGAACAAAATATATAGATTAATGTGCCAATATTTAAATGCTACATAAAAATATCTGAACTTTTTAGATTAAATTTCTCATGCTAATTAGTCAAATAAACTGTGTTAATGAAATGGTGTTTTCTTTTTCTTTTTTTTTTTTTTTTTTTGGTAGAACGAAATTGTGTTTTCTTGTTATTGAGGAGGTCGTCCGTATTTAAAGTAAAAAAAAATATATGGAAATTAAATGTTCGTTTTACAATTTAAATAAAAATGATTAAAGTATTGGCCGCCCCTATCATTAACTAGCCGTATTCACCAACCTATGAGCTTATAAGGAGCCGAAGCTATTCGTATTCCACTAGTGCGAGTACGTAATATTTAATTAGTGCCTTCACTGTTAGGGTAAACACTTAACACTTTACACTCGAGTCTGTACGTTTTCTCCTATTTGGTTACTTGACCATTTTGTGTTTTGTTGTTCAAAATTCGAACTCTTGAAATCTTGGAGTTCATAATCTTAAAATAAATATGTATTCTGGTTTTGCTACTTGAAAGCTATCGTTGTTTGGTTATGTGCCACGCAAATTCTAGGGTTTAATAACCTCTCTTCATTTTCAGGTAGTTTAAAGGAGCCTTTTGTAAAGATTCAATGGGAAAGACATATGAGAAGAAGATCACTTGGACAATTAAAAACTTCTCCTTTTTGCAATCTGATGAAATTAAGTCAGACTATTTTGTTGTTGGTGGCTGCAAATGGTAAGAGCTATGTTTTGTTAGTTTAACAGTAATAAAACAAGATTTCTATATAATGTTAATGTAATATTGTCTATTGCTTTCTTTGGTTTTGGGGTTTTTGCTTTCAGGTGTCTTCGGGTCTATCCTAAGGGAGAACAAGGATGTATGAACTTTTTGTCTCTATACCTGGGAGTTGCTGGTTCTGAATCTTTGCCTTATGGATGGAGAAGACATGCCAAATTTCGCCTAGTTGTTGTCAATCAACTTTCTCAAGAAGCCTCCAAAGGGAATGGTGATTATAATTTCTCTAGGCCTCTAGCTCACGGTTAAACTTGTCATTGGACTTCAGACTTGTGCTGCTATAAGATTCTCTTCATGTGTCTTGACTTGAGTTTTATGTTTTATTATGATTTTACAGAAGCACATATCTGGTTTGATCAGAAAAGTCCCAGCTTGGGCTACCCAGAAATGCTTCCACTCTCCAAGCTTCTTGACAAGAGTGGTGGGTTTCTTGTGAACGGAGAAATCAAGATTGTTGCCGAGGTCTATGTTCTTGAAGTTATTGGCAAAACAAATGTGTTAGAGGAAACTTCATTTGTTAAAGAAACCATGGACGTCAATGGGTTTCATGTACCTCCTCCTTTGGTAAGACTTATATTAAGAGTCTCTAATTAGAGTTTAGTTTCTTGATATATATATACCAAGCTGCATAAATGTTTTTACCTTATGTCTATCTTTTACATGTAGGTAGAATCTGTGAGTAGTTTGTTTAAAAGCCATCCAGACATTGCATCAGAATTCCGACCCAAGAACCCACATCTAAGAACAACATACATGAATGTCCTACTTAGTCTCACTGAGGTTTTGGGTCAGTCCCCTGAGAAACTCTCCATATCTGATCTTTCCGATGCGTATTCTGGGCTACAGTTTGTGAAACAAGCGGGGTTTAAACTGGAATGGTTGGAGAAGAAACTGAAAGAGGCTTGTCAGACTCGGCTGCAAGAAGTGAAGGAAGAATTGAAAGATAAGTGTGCAGAGATGGAAGCTCTGGAGGAGTTATTACGATGATGTTGTTTCATGAGAGAGACAAAGAGACTTGTTTTGTTGTGGTTTTGCTATGTTACATTTTTACTGCTGAAGTAGACAAGATTGTTCAACTTTAAAACACATGCCAACACTTCTTTCTTGGGTATGAAGAAACGAATAAACGTTGTGTTTCATTATTAGGTCAAATAAACGTTCTTAATTACTCACTAGGGGTCTTTTTTGTTATTTTACGACTGTCACATGTTCAATATATAATTTAGTGAAACTCAAATCCATTTCTTGCAAATTTTCTTATTAACCCTAGATATGATCGGAAGACCTAAACTCTAGTCTCTCTAGCTATCCCTAATCTTCATTTCTAAGTACATCGTCCCTGTCTCTTTCTTTGACCACACCCTAAGAGGTAAATTATGTATTATAGAATGATGCTCAAGAGTAGAATCTTAATATTTTATTTTGGTTTCGTTTTGGTTTGTTTATTGTGTAGCTAGGAGTCACCAAAGAGATCAATGGAGACAAAAGTCGAAACGACGATTACTTGGGTGATAAAAAACTTCTCTTCGTTGCAAACAACAACGGTTTATTCTGATAATTTCGTCGCTGGTGGCTGCAACTGGTCAGAAGATATAATAAACTTTTCTTGTAATGGTTTTGCTAAGAGTAGAGTTTAGGTTTTGTTAATATTGTTTTTGTTTGGTTTTGGTTTTGGTTTGTAGGCGTTTTCTGGCCTATCCAAAGGGAAATAATCAAGCAAATCATTTTTCTCTGTATATAGCCCTGCCTGATAAGGAACCTTTACCTATTGGATGGAGAAGACATGTGAAATTTTCTCTAAGTGTAGTAAATAAATATTCAGAAACACTCTCTACACGAAAAGGTAATTTTGTTTTATGATTTTTTGTTAAGTTTTGAACATTAATACTAACAAACTATGTGTTTTACAGAGACAGAACACTGGTTTGAAGATAAAGCTCCTAGTTGGGGATTTCCGACCTTGATTTGCCTCACTGAACTTAATGACAAAGAGGGGTTTCTGGTGAATGGAGAGCTCACAGTTGTTGCTAAGGTCGAAGTTCTTGAAGTTGTAGGAAAATTAGAGGAATCTTCTTCACCAGTAACGGTAACCGTAGAGGTCAATGGGTTTCAAGTTCTTCCTTCACAGGTACGTACAAATCATGATAAAACACACGACACTGTTAAGTGTTCGGTTGAAATCTCAGCTATAAGAAAAGCCATTATGGGTTTTTACAAGATGTGGTGTAATGTTTTAAAATAGGTAAAAAGATGGCTGCCTACACTAACTACACTAATTATAGTTTTTAGTTTTTTTAACAGTATAAATAAAGTTATATAAAAAAAATTTGGAATTTTTTTTGGGTCAAAAACGGTCAACGCCGGAGTCAACACCGGTCAACGCTAGAATCAGTTGACCGCTGTACCAGAATTTTATGTCTATGGTGTTGACTACATGACATTGTATAGTTGATGCATGTGGCCATACAATACATCTAGTTCTTGTAGCAGAGTGTACAATATGATACTTGTCATGTGTGACCATGCATTCGTCTATAGTTAGTGTAGCTAGCCATCTTTTTTCCTTTAAAATAAGTATCGGGAAGTTTTACTTTAAAACATATATATATATATATATATATATATATATATATATATAAAGTTAGCTTTTCGCTCTTCTCATGATGCCACCTAAGCATCCATTTAAGTTACATTTTTATTTTTACATTAAAATAAATTTAAAATATTTATTTAGTGCATATTTATGTTACTTATAAATTAATAGAAAGCTTATATAAATAAAAACATGAATTATGTGAAATAAATGAAATGTTAAAATAAGAAAAACAATATTATAATTTTTTATCAGTGGTAATAATATAATTCAACTTTTATTTTAATTGGATCATAGTTTAAAATTTTAAATGTGTTACTCAGTTTTAGAATGGAAGTAAATTTTTTATTCATGGTAGAATAAAACAACATTTAAGTAATTGTATACATACAATTTTGAAACATGAAATATAAATTGAAAATGAAATATTAGTTTATAACATGATCTGAAAAAAAAAAAACAATTGATGTTTCACAAATTGAATCAAATGCTTTTAATCTAAATTTGAGTACTGCAAAATAGTAATTAAAGAAAAAATAGTTATAATATGTTTTGGATATTAATACTAAGCTAATATAAACTTTAAAAAAACATTTCATGTGAAAAATAGGAAAAAAAAATAACAGCAATAAAAAACCAGCAAAACAAACATTACAACCACAAAAAAAACAAAGAAAATTAAAATTTTAAAAAAATATATTTACCTCCTGCGTACAGCGCGGGTCAACAAGTAATATAATATATATTTTAGTTTCTTGATGTATATACAAGCTTCAGATATGCTGTAGTTTTAAATATCCTTTGCACTGGCAGGTAAAATCTGTGAAGTCTTTGTTTGAAAGACACCAAGATACTGCATCAAAATTTCGGCTAAAGAATCCATACCTGAAGACGGCGTACATGAATTTTCTCTTGAGCTTAACACAAACGCTGTGTCGATCTACTCAAGAAATCTCCAAGGATGATCTCTCTCATGCAGGCGCTGCACTAATATATTTGAAAAAAGCAGGGTTTAAGTTGGATTGGTTGGAGAAGAAACTTGGTGAAGTAAAGAACAAGAAGAAGAAAGAAGAAGCTTGTTTGGCCCGGATGCGAGAAATGGACGAAGAGCTTCAGCCCTTTAAGAAGAAGTGCTTAGACCTTAGAGCTCAGATGGATAAGGTGAAGGAAGAGCTGTCAGAAGCTAGAGCCCCTCTCCCCTTGTTCGATGACAATGTTGCCTGATCACTTCAGAGTTCTTAAGCACTTGGATTTAGGTTTTGCTAGGTGTTCTGATTTCTTTGCTTGCGTTTTGATGTTTTGATTTCGAAAATAAAAGCTCTCTTAATGTGGAAACTTCTTATAAATATTGGATGATGCTATTTTTTTATATATGTTTTTTTGGTAGTTGAGGACTCTCTAGATATGGTACTTGTACAACTAGTGAAAAAATCCCTATAGCCTAGCCACTTGAATTTTCATAGCTATAGCAAAAAAATCCCTATAACCATGAAAATTCAAGTGGAAATAGTATAAAAATCCCTATAGCCACGAATATTAAGACTCAGCCACAAAAATTTAAGTGGCTTTAAAGATTTTTTGTACTAGTACATACTTTTTGTTACAAAATGTAATAAACATAGGAGTTTTGCAATTAATTACAAATCAAACGCATAAGTCCAAGTAAACGCCTAATTAATAATTTACTATACTAGAAACATACTTTTGATCAGTAAATTCACAAAATTGTTACAAATGCCTTTCCTATAGTATATAACTCCCCGGAATTTAGAAAGAAGAAGCAACCGAACCATTCACAATACAATACATTATGGCCATCAACACAATTACTATTACCAAATCCATGGCTGGAGCCTTCTTCACAATCATCGCGATGGCTACACTGGCATCAGCAGCCACCGGTTTGGTTCAGCCTCCAATATCAGACGAGTACTTGGTTAACCAATGTATGGCTAAAGTATCTTCAAGGTGTGCGATGTACGTCACGGCCGAAATGTATAACCATGGTCCGTCGTTGAAACAAAACGGATGTTGTCTAGAGGTTTATCACATGGGGCGTATTTGTCTTCACATCGTGACAAAGCATGTAATGGAAACACTTGTGCCCGATCTTGAAGGTGTTAAGAAACAAGACTCTCTCGAGAAAAGTACACAACTATGGTATTTTTGTGTTCCGGTTTAATTTTGCATTCTTGAATATCATTATCAATATGGGGCAAAAAAAAAGTAAGGGGATTTGAAAATAAATCCACATTACTAATGGTTATATTAGTAAGATTACAGCTATACCATGATTTTTGTTTTTTGAGTATAATTTTATTTTATGTATTTTAGTCTTATATTCAATTGAAATAAAGTTTTTATTGGTATTAATTTATTTGAATATCTATAACATTTTTGAAATTTGGTTAAAATTTACAAAGCTCTTGTTTACTCCAGTGATATGTAAAGCCAAGCAGAGTTTGAATTCATGTATGACAGATAGAGATAACACTGATGTGAACTTAGGCACTTCTTTGTATCATGATCTTCCCATTGTCACACTTCTTGACTTGGCTCGATCGCTGTTAACACTTAAGTCACTTGACAAGCAGCGAATGATAGAGAACATATATGTACAGTAAAACCTCTATAAATTGAGTATAACATATTATTAATTTATAATGATATTAATTTATAGTGGTATTTTTAGTTGTTCAATATTTTTGAAAAATATGTATTGGCGCAATTAAAAATAATAATTAAGAGTAGTCTTTTAGATATAAAAAATTTCATAGTTTGAAATTGAATTTTATATTTAGAAAAAAGAAAATTTGAATATAAACTAGAAATATTATAGATAAATTCACTTCTACAAATGATATACATAAATTCAGATGTACGATTAGTAACCTCAATTGTTGTTATATCTTAACATCTTATAAAAAATTGAATATGATGCATATTTATAAACTGAAAACATAAAAAAAAAATGGTTATTTTTATGACTTGTGATGAAGTATATTACAATATTATAGTTTAACATAAATTTATTGTGTTGAGAGGAGCTCTAGGAGAAAAATTATTTTTACAAAAAAACTAAAAACATACATTAATATATTTATTGATTATTAATTTATGATATCATTGGAACTATATAGCTCAAATAAGTCGAACACAAATCCACAAAATTATGGGCGTGTTTTACATAAAGATTTCAAAAAAATTATTACTTTATTTTTATATCGAATATGGTTAATATTTAACGCTAGTCCGAGTAGGAGCCAACAAAAATTATTAAATTATAGAGGTTCTACTGTAAAAGGAATGCTGAAACATGTTAGAAACATGTTAGTTTCATGACCATAGCCGTCTTTGGTATTACAATGGCACCATGTGTTTTGTTTTTCGTTTACCTGAAAAGAAAAAAAACGACATCTGATTTGAGTCTTTGAGAGTGATTTCTTGCGTAGGAGGTTTGCTCGCACGAGGAACAAAAATTAGTGAAGATAGGTTACTTTCTTGTGTAGACATTTTACCATTTAAATTCCCTAACATTTCATTAATCTTTTTTGTATTTTCTCAGTTTATTGGTAATTAACTACAAATATGTGGAAACAGTGACTAAGCCAGAAAAGTATATTATGCGGGTCATATATTGATAATATGAAAAAATATATGAGTTATTATCAAAAACTTAGAAGAGTAAAGAAACATACACAAAAAAAATAGTGTAAGAAAATAAAATAAAGGGGTCAAAAAGACTAGTAGAACTGGAGACATGGGGGTCAATCTACTAAAAACAAACCAAATTTGCAATTATGTAATACATATACTTAGTTTATGGGGGTTAGTTGACAGCCCTACTCTTTCACTAGCTCCGCCCATAGGTGGAAATAGATAATCGATTTATCATAATTAGGGCATCACCAACCCTTGTACTATGACAATGTTGTCCGATGACTTGAGTGTTCTTGAGCACTTGGATTTCGGTTTTGCTAGGTGTTTTGCTTTTTGATGTTTTAATTCAAAAATAAGAGCTCTCTTAATGTGGGAACATTTTGATGTTTTGATTTGATGCTATATTTTATTAATATGTTTTTTTTTTGTAGTTGAGAGGGCTCTCTAGAGATGGTACTTGTGGTCACTTCTTGCTACAAAATGGAATAAAAATAGGCGTTTTGAAATAAATTGCAAATCAAACGCATAAGTTTAAGGAAACGCCTATTTAATATAGAGGAAACAAACTTTTGATCAATAAATTCTTAAAATTGTTACAACTATACATTTCCTATAGTATATAACACCCCGACAATTTAGAAAGAAGAAGCAACCGAACCATTCAAAATACAACACATTATAGCCATCAACACAACTACTATCACCAAATCCATGGCTGGAGTCAAGTAATCTCAAAGGTCGATATTCTGGGAAGAGATTTACGAGAAAGATCAGACAACCGACTAGTAAAAAAGAGATTCCGGCTTGAGTCTGCGACCAACTCGTTACATGTGCCTGGTGAGCCGGCTGTAAATGATGGTCCCTTGACAACGAAACTAAATGATCAAGAACAACCACAAATTTTCCACCGTTACGTAAAAATAAATTTGATTAGAATCTTTCCCACTAGACACAAGTAAAACTATTTGATTAGAACTAAAAAAATATTTTTTAAGTAACGGTGGGAAATCTGTGGCTGTTCTTAATCATTTACTTCCATTGTCAAAGGACCATCATCTACAGCCAGCTCACCAGGCATAGGTAATGGGTTGGGTCGCAGATTCAGGCCGGGATCTCTTTTTTACTAGTCGATTTGCCTGATCTTTCTCGTAAAGATCTTCCCAGAATATCGAAGTGGATGTTGTCTAGAGGTTTATCACATGGGACGTATTTGCCTTCACATTCGTGACAAAGCAAGTAATGGAAACACTTGTAATCAATCTTGAAGGTGTTAAAACACAAGACTCTCTCGAGAAAAGTACACAAATATGGTATCTTTGTGTTCCGGTTTAAAATTTTGTGATCTTGAATATCGTTATCCGCATTACTATGGGTTATTATATTAGTCGATTAATGATATACCAATGATTTTGTTTTTTTATTATAATTCTTTTAATATATTTTTGATATGACTATCGCCGAACAAAACCTGGAGCTAGTAGCCGAGGAACAATTTGTAGAAGAGGAGAAGCTCGTACCCAGGGAGCAGCTCGTACCCAAGGAGAATCTCGTACCCGAGGATGAGCTTGTTTGTAGCTGAGGAAGTGCTTATAAAGAATCTAACTAAACCGCCATGGTTTTAGTTCAAATCTCCTTAATGATCATCACGGCTCAAGAAGTTCGGTAAAGGATAAGTGTTGCTTATGCACTCTTTTTCCCTTATCAAGTTTTGTCCCATTTGCTTTTCTTGACAAGGTTTTTAATGAGGCCTAATTAACACTTTCAGGGCCTTTTACCAAGCCCAATTTGTGGGTTCAAGGCCCATCATTTTTCCTTAGCCCATTTTCTATCTTTTCTTTTCACTCTTGCATAAGTTTTTGTAATTTCCAAGACATTTTGAATGAACATGCATGGGTGTAATTTCCAAGATACTTGTGCATGCTATTGCATGTTCTTCTTCTCTTTCATCCCCCTTTACTATATAATTCCCCTCTACCTCTCATTTGTATCTCATCTATCTTTTTATCAAAAACTCTTTCAAGTTAGATCACTCTCTCTTGTTCTTTTTTTGGTGTGTAATATCCTTAGTGAAGTCCAAGTTTGGTAAATCAAAGGCTCTTCCGCAACCTTTGTGCGACCATTTGCTCCACATCCTTTGGTCTAAGTGATCCCCCGATCTCTTAGGTGCAAAACCTATGTTTCCCTCAACTATCCGAGGGTCGATTATAGGAGGATCGTAATATGTGGTATCAGAGCACACTCTGAAAAGTTGAGTAATGTACCATCTTTATCATCTTTCATTATTTCATTTCATCTTCTTTCATCTTTCCATTCTTTTTCTGTATTTATTGTCGTCTGTTTTTTCTGGATTTTCTGTCATTTTGTCAGAATTTCCATAAATAATTGGCTCATTAGATCTAAACTCTTTCAAGTTAGATCATCCAAAAATTATAAACTCAATTGTGTCTAAAACTAGGACTAGTTTTTTGGATGAGTCAATGATTTATGAAATTGAGTTTTAGAAACAATGATTGACTCATCCAAAAAAACTCGTCCTAGTTTTAGAAACAATTGAGTTTATAATTTTTGAATGAGCCAATTATTTATGGAAACTCCGCCAAAATGATAAAAAAATTCAGAAAAAAACAAACGAAACTAAATACAAAAAAGAAGTGGAAAGATGAAAGAAGATGAAATGAACTGATGAAAGACGATAAAGATGATAGAATGCTCAACTTTTCAGAGTGTGCTCTGATACCACATAACACGATCCTCCTAGAATCGACACTCGGAAAGTTGAGGGAAGGCTAGGCTTTGCACCTAAGGGATCGGGGGATCACCTAGACCAAAGGATGTGGAGCGAATGGTCGCACAAAGGTTGCGGAAGAGCCTTTGATTTACTAAACTTCGACTTCACTAAAAATATTACACACCAAAGAAAAAACAAGAGAAAGTGATCTAACTTGAAAGAGTTTTTGATAAAAAGATAGATGAGTTACAAATGAGAAGTAGAGGGGGATTATATAGTAAATGGGGATGAAAGAGAAGAAAAACATGCAAGAGCATGCATAAGTGTCTTAGAAATTACACTCATGCATGTTCATGCAAAATGTCTCGGAAATTACAAAAACATTAAATGCAAGAATGAAAAGAAAATATATAAAATGGGCTCAGGAAAAGTGATGGGCCTTTTACCCACGAATTGGGCTTGGTAAAAGGCCTTGAAAGTGTTACTTATGCCACATTAAAAACATTGTAAAGAAAACCCAATGGGACAAAACTTGATAAGGGAAAAGAGTGCATAAGCAACTCTTATCCCTTTACCGAACCCCTTGAGCCGTGATGATCATTGAGGAGATTTGAACTGAAACTATGGCGGTTTGATTAGCTTCTTTATAAGCACTTCTTCAGCTACAAGCTCATCCTCGGGGACGAGATTCTCCTTGGGTATGAGCTGCTCCCTAGCTATGAGCTGCTCCTCTTCTACGGATTTTTCCTCGGCTGCGAGCTGCTCCTCTTCTACGGATTGTTCCTCGACTACAAGCTCCAGGTTTTGTTCGGCGATAGTCATATCAATTTTAGACTTATATTCAATCGAAATAAAGTTTTTATTGATATTAATTTATGTGAAATATCTATACCACTTTCAAAATTTTTTAAAAGTTACAAAGCTCTTGTTTATTTCAGTAATATGTAAAGATAAATAGTGATTGAGACGAGACCATATAATCTGTTCTGGTTTCGGATCTAAAAGTATATGTATGAATTTCGGTCAAAACATTTTAGTTATTAAAAAGGAAATAAAACAAATGGAGTTTGAATTTATATTTGACAGATATAACACTGATGTGAACAAACATATAGACGCATTGCTTGACTAGGCTCGATCGCTGTTGAGACTCATGTCACTTGACAAGCAATGAATGAAAGAGATCATATAAAAGGAAGACCTCAAACGGCACGATGTGTTTTGTTTTTCGTTTAACCGGAAGTATTTTAGCAATACAGTATAACCTCTATAAATTAATATTCGATAAATTAATAATCTCTATAAATTAATAAATTTTTCCGGTCCCAACTTGGGACCAGTGTAATTTTAGACACATTTCGATAAAATAATAAGATAATAATTTTTTTGAAAATACTTTGTAAATATATGGTCCCATCATTATTATAAATTAATAATTAGGTAAAATTTTCAAAATATATGTATATATTGACACATTAGTTTTTGTTAGATTTTATTTCTAATATTTTACTATATGAAAAATAGTTAACATTCTCTTTTAATACATAATAATTATTGTTTTATTTGTAATTGATTATATAAAATGCTAAATCTTATTTTTAAATATTGTTTTGAAAATATTTTCCAAATTAGGAATATCTTTTTATAAATTAATAATTATTAATTTATCGATAAATTAATACCTTTATAAATTAATAGATTTTTATGGTGCCAACGTTATTAATTTATAGAGGTTTTACTGTAAATTCATACAAATAAGGAAATCAGAAAGAAGAAGCTAACAAGTAATTTTGAAGTGGACGGTCTTAGCTTGCTCGCCTCATAGATTTTCCATTTTCTTATACTAAAATCAATGCCAAAAAGGGATTTCTTGCGTAGGAGGTTTGCTCGCACGAGGAACAAAAAATATTGAAGATATGTTACTTTCTTGTGTAGAGTTTTTACCATTTATATTGCCAAACATTTCATTAATCTTTGTTCTATTGTTTCAGTTTATTGGTAATTAACTTCAAATAGGTGGAAATAGATCATCGATTTTTCATGATTACAGCATCTCCAATCCTAATCTATTTTTTTTCTAAAGTTTGTTATATAGTAATGTTTTCTCCAACTCAATTAATACACTTAAAAAAGTAACACTTAAAATTACTTAATATTTAGCGTAAACTCTATTTTGTACCTTTTTATATGAATATATTTTTTTAGATTACAAAATAGAGTTATACATTGAAGAGAAACTATACTCAAATTGAGAGTTACATTATTTTAGAGTAAAACTATAGAGTGCTAAAAAGAGTAATACATTGGAGATGATTTTAGTAAATTGTTTTTTTTTTTTCGAGAAATACCCAATTTGGTATACCATTTTTCAAAAAATACATTTTTCTCTAAGGATTTTTTTTAAATAACTCTTTTTATAATGTTTTAAAAGGGTATGGTTTATAAGTTAATTCTAGATAATGACTACTACTGGAGGATTCAATCAAAATATTATAAGGTTTTAAAAAGTTTCTTACAAGGTTTTTAAAATGTTTAGAAAGGGTTTAAAAAGTTTTTAAATAATTTTAAAAGGTATTAATACTATATTTATATAAAATTTTACAGTAATTTATATGTAATTTTATAAGTTTACACATATGTTTAGATAAATTTTAAAATTTTGGTGATTTTATGATATTTTGAAAAAATTGTAGTATTAAAAACAGTATTTTTGAAATTCTCCAAACAAAAAAAATAAAATAAAGACAAGATATTCATAACACACATCGAAACAACAAGCCGACATAGATATTCATAACATACATCGAACAACAACAAGCCGACATAGATATTCATAACAACACTTGCTTTTGGGAATGAAAAACAATTAAACGGTTCCTTTCATTATTACGTCAATTAATCGTTCTTAAATGACTAGGGTCTTGTTTTTTTTTTTTATAATTATAAATCACTGTTCTAAAAATAACATAGGGAAAGTAAAAGGATGAAAAGTTTCTTTCTAGACTTTAAATCATATAGGAGTAGTAATGAGGAAGAAGCCGAAACGTTACACATTCCTCTTTCTAAGAAGCCTTTAAATTCTTGGATTAAACTGTTTCAGTTCTATATAGTTCATGTCTCTTTCCTTCGACTGAGCCACCTGAGATTCTCAAACGTGGTAACGTTGTCAAGAACAAAAGCTGTTCAGAATTATTTTCATAGTGGAATCTTTATTTTGGTTTTGTCTTTTGGGATTGTTCTTTGACCTTCGATTTACATTTTTTTTTTTGTTTTGTAGCTAGGGCCTAGGAGTCATCACAGAGATCAATGGAGACAAACGTTGAAACAACGATTACTTGGGTGATAAGAAATTTCTCTTCGTTAAAATCAGTATTTTATTCTGATAATTTCGTTGTTGGTGGCTGCAAATGGTAAGAAGATAACAAACTTTTCTTGTAGTGTTTTTGTTTAGGTTTAGTTTTTGATATATGTTGTTTTTGTTTGGTTTTCGTTTGCAGGCGTCTTCAGGCCTATTCAAATGGAAATTTAACGGCTAATCATTTGTCTTTGGTCCTAAACGTTTCTGATAATGAAACTTTGCCTATTGGATGGAGAAGACATGCTAAATTTTCTCTTACTATAGTAAATCAATATTCAGAAACACTCTCCCTACTACAAGGTTGTACTGTGTTGTGTGTTTAATTCTATGCTTGTTATTTTTATGCCTCTGTGTTGAGTTGTGAGCATTGAGTCAGAAAATGTAACTAATGAGATGAAATATGGCTTTTGATTTTGTAGAGACTCAGCACTGGTATGAAGCTAAATCTCCTTTACCGGGGTTTTTAAAAATGATACTTAGTAAACTTAATGCCAACAATGGATTTGTAGTAAATGGAGAACTCAGAGTTGTTGCTAAGTTACAAGTTCTTGAAGTTGTAGGAAAATTAGATGTATCAGATGAATATTTACCACTAGCTGTAACCATAGATGTCAATGGGTTTCAAATTCTTCCTTTACAGGTATGCAAAACACCTTTTGTTGTTTTGTAAAAATGTCAACTACAAAAATATTACTTTTAGACACAAAAGAAGAAACTGTAAGATATTCTATGGTTTTACTTTATATATCCTTTCCATTCACAGGGAGACTCGGTGAAGCGTTTGTTTGAAAGACACCAAGATATTGCATCAAATTTTCGTCCAAAGAATCCATACCTGAAGACAGCGTACATGAATTTTCTCCTGAGCTTAACACAAACGGTGTGTCAATCTACTCTAAAACTCTCCAATGATGATCTCTCTGACGCAGACGCTGTGCTGGCATATTTGAGAGAAGCAGGGTTTAAGTTGGATTGGTTGGAGAAGAAACTTGATGAAGTAAAGGAGAAGAAGAAGAAAGAGGAGGCTTGTTTGGCCCGGCTGAAAGAAATTGATGAAGAGCTTCTGCCATATAAGAAAAAGTGTTTAGACCTTAACGCTAAGATGGATAAGGTGAAGGAAGAGCTATCGGCAGCTAGAACTCCTCTCTCCTTGGACGATGACAATGTAGTCTGATGACTTGAGAGTTCTTGGACACTTGGATTAAGGGTTTTCTAGGTGTTCTGATATCTTTGTTTGCGTTTTGATTTCGAAAATAAAACATCTCTTATGTCATAACTTCTTGATATTGGATGATGCTATATTTTTTTTATATAAGTTCTTTGTAGTTGAGGGTTCTCTACATATGCTTCTGCTACAAAATGGAATAAACATAGTTGTTATGCAATTAAATTGCAAATCAAACTCATAAGTCCAAGTTGTTATTAATAACTTTCCTTTAGTATATAGAAAGAAGAAGCAACCAAACCATTCACAATACAATACATTATGGCCATCAACACAACTACTATCACCAAATCCATGGCTGGTGCCAATACATTACTAAGGGTTATTATATTAGTAAATTAATGTTATACCAATGATTTTGTTTTTTAAGTATAATTTTCTTTTATGTAATTTAGGCTTACATTCAATTGAAATAAAGTTTCTACTGATATTAATGTATTTGAAATATATATACCAATTTCAAAAAGAAATTAAAAGTAACAAAGCTCTTGTTGTTTTTTTTTTTTGAATAACTAAGAGATTATGGGCTGACATCCCTTCAGGTCCGAAACCAGAGCATGTTATATGATCTCGTCTCAAACGCCATTCGAACCAGCAACGTCTAAACTTTAGCCGTGCTTGGTACATTACAACGGCACAGTGTGTTTGTTTTTCGTTTAACCAGAAGAAAAAAACGACACGTTGTTATGTTTTGAGAGTGACTAAAAGTTAGAACGAGCAAGTTATGTATTTAACTAGCTTTCAACAAGAACTTACAGAGATCAGTTACGAGCAAAAGCAACATATGTTAACCATACATTACTTGCTCGGCAAGGAAAATAGAGATTTTACCATTTAGATCGCCTAATACAATCGCTAAACATTTCATCCATCTCACCAAAAAAAAAAAAACATTTCATTAATTAATCCGTGTTGCACTTTTTCCCCCAATTTGTTGGTATACACTTCAAACAAGTGATCTAAGAAATACTAGTTCATTAGCTATTATATACTAAAGTATTCTCTAACTCCACTCTATATTCACTCTAGTATAGGGTAAAACTTAAGATTAGAGTAACTCTATTTTTGGACTCGAAAGATAGAGTGAAAAAAAGAATAATACACGAAGAATGTATCACATATCTAACGAAACATGTCTTGGGAATGAAAAACAATTAAACGAGCTCACGTAAACCATTCTTAATACTAAGGTTTTTTTTGGGAAAGTCTAGTGATAATTTTCTTTAGACTTTAAGTAAAATGGTATAAATCCTATGCGATAGTGAAAAGCCGAAACCTTTCGCATTCCTCTAGTCTTTCTAATGTAAACGTGGAAGCCTATAAAGTTATGGCTTAACTGTTTCAGTACTACATCGTCCCTGTCTCTTTGACTTTTCGATTTACAAAATTTATGTGTAGCTTTGGAGTAATCATAGAGATCAATGGAGACAAAAGTTGAAACGAAGATTACTTGGGTGATTAAAAATTTATTTTCTTTGCAATCAGAATGGATATATTCTGATAATTTTGTTGTTGGTGGCTGCGAATGGTAAGAAGATAACAAACTTTTCTGGTAATGTTTTTGGATTTAGGTTTACCTTATATATATTGTTTTTGTTTGGTTTTCGTATGCAGGCGTCTTCAGGCCTATCCCAGGGGAAATAATTATTAGGGATATATATCCCACATTGGAAATTAAGTAGGATACTGACTAGTATATAAGATATATGGGCCTCTCCACTCATTTCCAATTGGTTTTAGGTTGGAACCCCACAATCTAATATGGTATCAGAGCCCGATCCGCACATACTCAACCCAATCCACAATCGGTCTGGCCCATAATTGGCTCACCGATTCATGCCCGAATATATCGAGATTTATGGCGAAAAGAGCCATCATCTTGAGGGGACGTATTAGGGATATATATCCCACATTGGAAGTTGAGTAGGATCCTGACTAGTATATAAGATATATGGGCCTCTTCACTCATTGCCAATTGGTTTTAGGTTGGAAGCCCACAATCTAATAATAATAAGGCTAATCATATGTCTTTATATCTATAGACGTTCCTAATAAACAATCTTTGCCTATTGGATGGAGAAGACATGCTAAATTCTCTTTTGCAATAGAAAAATCCTCCAAACTAAGAGGTTGTTGTGTTTCTATGCTTGTTAGTTGTTTGTTTGAGTCAAAAATGTAACTAATGAGATGAAATATGGCTTTTGATTTTGTAGAGACTCAACACTGGTTTGAACACAAATCTCCTCGCTGGGGGTATCCAGGAATGATTACCCACACTCAAATTAATACCATAACTTTACTGGTGAATGAAGAAATCATAGTTGTTGCTAAGGTCGAAGTTCTTGAAGTTGTCAATGGAAAACTAGGTATATCAGAAGAATCTTCACAAGAAATGGAAACCATAGATATCAATGGTTTTCAAATTCTTCCTTCACAAGTACGTACAATACTTTTTTGTTGCTTTGTAGACAGTAAACACATGGAATATGAAAATACGAAACAGTAAGAGTCACACTATATCCTTTCCTCTCGCAGGTAGGATTGGTGAAGTCTTTGTTTGAAAGACACCAAGATATTGCATCCAAATTTCGTCTAAAGAATCCATGTTTGAAGATGGCGTACATGAATTTTCTCTTGAGCTTAACCCAAACGCTGGCTAAATCTACTCAAGAACTCTCCAATGATGATCTCTCTGGTGCAGGCACTGCTTTGGCATATTTGAGAGAAGTAGGGTTTAAGTTAGATTGGTTGGAGAAGAAGCTTGATGAAGTTAAGGAGAAGAAGAAGAAAGAGGTGGCTTGTTTGGCCCGGCTGAAAGAAATGGACGAAGAGCTTCAGCCCTTTAAGAAGAAGTGCTTAGACATTGAAGCTCAAATGGATAAAGAGAAGGAAGAGCTGTTAGCAGCTAGAGCTCCTCTTCCCTTGTACGATGACAATGTTGTCTGATGACTTGAGAGTAATGTTTTTTCCGGTTTTAAGTTTACGATCTTGTTTAATATCTATATTTATGGATAAAAATGAATTGGCATTTGAAAATAAATCCAAATTACTAAGGTTTTTTTTTTTTTTTTGACATCATTACAAATAATAAATCTCTTTTGAGAGGGACCGGGCTCGAACCCGTATCTGCTGAGAAGGCAAACAGAGGTGAGAACCACTAGTTCACTCGCTCCTTCTCCAAATTACTAAGGTTTATATTACAAGATTAACGCTATATATTTATAGCTCTAAATTTGGAAAAAAAATCTATGGCTCTAAATTTACAGACAAAAATCTAAATGTATACCAAGCAATCAAAGACTAAATTATTTATTATGTGAAAGAAGATATATAAAACAAAACAAGGGTGAAAATGTATAAACACCACTCTCTATCTTGTTTATCTAATTTTAAAAAAATACATAGCTAGATATTTAATTATATAGTCTTATATGTCTATACAATGATATTTCCCTTCATAACACACATGACACATCTTACAAAACTTGTCTTGGGAAAGAAAAACAGTTAAACGATGTGGTTCATGATTATGTCTTTTTTGTTTTTCGTTTTTTTTTTTTTTTAAAGTATCACTGTTTTAAACTTAACTTAGGTATAAACCATATGCAAGAAGAGGAGCCGAAACCTTTCGCATTCCTCTAGTCTTTCTAATTTAAACGTGGAAGCCTTTAAAGTTATGGCTTAACTGTTTCAGTACATTGTCCCTGTCTCTTTTTTTCGACTGAGGTTATAATCGTTCGTTTTTTATTTTTTCCATTTTCCTTCCTATATCTATGTCAAGAAAACAAGAAAAGCTATTTAGATTTATTTTCATAGAGGAATTATTTTTTTTGTTTGGTTAAGTTTCACTTAGAATCTGAGATTGTTCTTTGACTTTTAGATTTACAAAATTGTTGTGTAGCTAGGAGTCATTATAGAGATCAATGGAGACAAAGCTTGAAACGGTCTCGAAGATTACTTGGGCGATAAGAAACTTCGCTTCGTTGCAATCAGCATCGATTTATTCTGATAATTTCATTGCTGGTGGCTTTAAATGGTATGAAGATAACAAACTTTTCTTGTAATGTTTTTGCTGACAGACCAGTTTAGGTTTAGCTGATATTGTTTGGTTTTGGTTTGTAGGCGTCTTAAAGCTTATCCCAAGGGAAATATAAAGGACAAACATTTGTCTCTCTATCTACAAGTTTCGGATAAAGATTCTTTGCCTATTGGATGGAGAACACACGCTAAATTTTCCTTAACTGTAGTTAATAAATTTTCAAAACATCTCTCCACACTAAAAGGTTATATTGTTCTTTATGCTTGCTTTCGTGTTGAGTTGTAAAGCATGGATTCAGAAATGTAACTTGTTACGAGTTTTGGAATATTTTTCAGAGACTCAGCATTGGTTTGATCACAAGTCTACAAGCTGGGGGTATGAAGAAATGACTCCCCTCAAGGATATTTATGCCAACAATGGATTTCTTGTGATTGAAGAACTCACAATTGTTGCCGAGATAAATGTTCTTGAAGTTGTAGGACAAGTAGATGTACCGGAGGAAACAATAGATGTCAATGGGTTTCAAATTCTTCCTTCACAGGTACGCGCAACACCGTAAGAGTCTAACTGTATAGTTCCTGTTTCTTGATATATAAAGAACCTGTGGTTTCACTTTATATGTCCTTTCCTCTCGCAGGTAGAACCTGTGAAGCGTTTGTTTGAAAGACACCAAGATCTTGTCTCAAAATTTCGTCAAAAGAATCCATATTTCAAGACGGCCTACATGAATATCCTCCTACGCTTGAACCAAACGCTGTGTCAATCGCCTCTAAGACTCTCCAATGATGGTCTCTCTCATGCTGCAGCTGCACTTGCATATTTGAGAAAAGCAGGACTTGAGGTGGATTGGTTGGAGAAGATGCTTTATGAAGTAAAGGAAAAGAAGAAGAAAGAGGAGGCTTGCTTGGCCCGGCTACAAGAAATTGACAAACAGCTTACGCCATTGAAGCGGAAGTTGTCTGATCTTGAAGCTCAGATGGATAAGGAGAAGGAAGAGTTGTTAGCTGCAAGAGCTCCTCTCTTCTCCAACGATGACAATGTTGTCTGATGCTGGACTCGATAGTTCTTGGCCACTTGGATTTTGGTTTTGCTTGAGTTTTGATTTTCGAAATGAGAATTCTCTTAATGTGAAAACATCTATATGATATAGGAGAGTTCTACAATACTTATCTTTTTTAATTAGGGAATCTCATTCTTTTTTTTTTTTTTGGACAAAAGGGAATCTCATTCTTAAAAATCTTGAATGCTGAAAAAATAGATTTTCAAAGAAACAAAATCTAATAACCAGTTAAAAACAACTACTAGTAAACTTGATTAGAGATGTCAAACGGGCCTCTAGCCCGCGGGCATGCCCAATACGAAGCTTAACGGGGCGGGTATGAGCTTTGATTTCGAAGCCCAAAAAAATGCGGGTCTCGCGGACTCGATCCGTTTGGTCTGCGGATTATAGCGGTCCTGCCCGTTTGGGAACTGCGGGTTTGCGGGCAATCCAAGTCATGGAGCTTCTAAACCACAGAAATTGCATATTCAGTACCCACCATCATTTTTACACTCTTCAATGTTTTATTTGATTACTTTGATTCCTCTGCAACTAAGAGTGACATAAAAGGGAAGGACACTATTTTCCTCATGATAAATTAGTTTTTAAGTTTATCTTACTCTATTGTATTGTACGTCAGCGACACTATGAAGGTTTCAAGTACGTATGTAACATTGTTGAGATAAATGTACAACATAGTTCAGTTAAGTAACCATTTGCAGTGCTTGTAATGAGATCGCATTGTCTGTGTGAGTTGCATTGATGGGGACTTCACTGTACCACTTTACCTAACAAGATAACACACATCCACATCTCAGTGTTTTTGCATCTTGACCACGTTGTTTTACAGGTTTTGCCAAAACACATCATGCACCATATATATATATATCTCAAAGAGCAGACAGACCTTTAGGATCCTTTTCAAAATGAATCACATTAACTAAAGCTAAAGCACTCTGTGATAGATCCGGTCCTTCTGAACTTTATGGAAGAAGAAGGATTTGCTATTTCAAAATAAACATATTTTCTCATGAATTAGTAAATTAGTAAATATCATTTTAAAAAATATTAAATTTCATTTAAATATCGATAATACTATGTCTATTATCTATAAATGTATAAAAATGTATAAAAATAATTTAGGACCCGGATACCCGAGTTATCTATTCAAATATCCGAATTTATACCCGAAATTCTGAATTTTACCCGAAAATCCGGATATTTACCCAAAAAGTTATGTATTTTTATCCAAAAATCCGGGTAATTACCCAAAAATTCGGGTATTCGGGTAAATTTTCGGGTATTTGTGTACCCGAAAATTCTCGGATTTTTAATGATTCCGAAAATTTATACCAAACCAACCCAAACCCGAATGGACCCGAACCGAAACTGAGCCCAATTTTTATGTTTATTCTATTGGGTCCTAAACTTTTCTACTCGAGAAATCCGTACCCGAATGGTTTTTACCCGAATCCGACTCGAGTACCCAAATCCCAAGGGCTACTCAAACCGCTGTAACCCTATGCGATAATTCACACTCTAAGCGTTCTTAAATGACTACGGTCTTTTTTTCCTTTTTTTTTTTTTTTTGTTTCATCGAGAAAGTCATCGTTATAAACCCTATGCGATAATTCGGTTACACTTAAAGATTGTTCTTTGACTTTTCGATTTACAGAATTATTGTGTAGCTAGGAGTAATTCATCATATAGATCGATGCAGACAAAAGTTGAAACGACGATTACTTGGGTGATTAAAAATTTCTCATCTTTGCAATCAGAACCAATTTACTCGGATAATTTCGTCGCAGGTGGCTGCAAATGGTAAGAAGATAATAAACAAACTCCTCTTGTAATGTTTTCTGCCAGTAGAATTTACGTTTAACCAATTGTTTTTGTTTTGGTTTTGGTTTGCAGGCGTCTTAAAGCCTATCCAAAGGGAAATAAGAGTGCTAATCATTTGTCTTTGTATCTAGATGTTTCTGATAATGAATCTTTGCCTATTGGATGGAGAAGACATGCTAAATTTTCTCTGACTATAGTTAATAAATTCCCGGAAAATTTCTCTCAACGAAAAGGTTAGTTTATGGTTTATGTTACTTTTATGCTTCCGTGTTGAGTTGTTAGGCATTGATTCAGAAATTTAAGTAATAATGATATGAAATATGGTTTTTGATTTTGTAGAGTGTCAGCACTGGTTTGAACATAAGGCTCCTGACTGGGGGTTTATAGAAATAATTAGCCTCACTAAACTTAATGACGAAGAAGGGTTTCTGGTGAATGGAGAACTCACAGTTGTTGCCAAGATAGAAGTTCTTGAAGTTGTAGGAAAATTATATGTACCGGAATCTTCTTCACCAGTAACGGTAACCACATATGTCAATGGGTTCCAAATTCTTCCTTCTCAGGTAACACCTTCTGTTGAACCGTAAGACTATACACTATATAATATAATTCATGTTTCTTTATATATAATGGCTTTGGATATGCTCTAGTTTTATTTTATGTACCCTGTCCACACGCAGGTAGAATCTGTGAAGTCATTATTTGCAAGAAACCAAGATCTTGTATCAAAATTTCGTCAAAAGAATCCATATTTGAAGACGGCGTACATGAACGTCCTCCTAAGCATAAACCAAACGTTGTGTCAATCTCCTCTAAAACTCTCCAATGATGGTATCTCTAATGCAAGCGCTGCACTTGCATATTTGAAAGAAGCAGGACTTGAGGTGGATTGGTTGGAGAAGAAACTTGTTGAAGTAAAGGACATAAAGAAGAAAGAAGAGGCTTGTTTGATCCGGCTGAAAGAAATGGACGACCAGGTTACGCCATTGAAGAGGAAGTTATTAGATCTAGAAGCTCAGATAGATAAGGAGAAGGTAGAGTTGTTAGCTGCAAGAACTCATCTCTCCTCTAACGTTGACAATGTTGGCTGATATATAATACTTGATTGTTCTTGGCCACTTGGTTTAGGTTCTGTTAGGTTTTCTGATTTTTTTTCTTGCGTTTAGATTTTTTTATTTCGAAAATGAGAACCCTCTTTATGTGGAAACGTCTTAATATATGATAGTTCTTCAATACTTTTTTTTTTATATGTAAGTATTTTGCAATTGAGTTTGATGCCATTCTTTAGGTCTTCTCACTGGCCAAGTAATGACCGGCCTTGACCCGTCCAAGTAACTGACTTGTGTACTCGATACTTGATTTGTCCGAAGGAACTTTTGGTCGGAAATCTGAGTACTTGCAAGTAATTTGACCGGCCTCGTTAATTGCCAAATAATTTGACTCTTGTTTTTTTAAAAATACTTACTAGTTGAACTAAGTACATGAGTATATAACTAAGTAGGAATTACCAAGAGTCGTTACCTAGAAATTATACAAAATTAAGTAAGATATATATAACACAAAATTAACTACGAGATATTTCGAAAATGCAACACAACTTCAATATGTTTCTTAACGAATATATAATGTCTTTGTGTCTGAACAAGTAGTAGAACACCAAGAGTCATCACGGTCAAAAGAACATATAGCTTACAATTTTTATTTTCGCTCACGTTATTCCTCATCATAGTCAGTAATAATGAGGAGTATCAAATTACGATGAACCAAAGCAGTTCACTTTCGCTCACGTTATTCGAGATCCATGCATCGTCTTGAGAATATCTCTTTTATTGGAAGCAAACACCTTTTACTACATTTGTTTTTTTTTTTCTTCTAACAGTGGAGGTTAGATCTCAAGAAAGCATTTGCCTAATTTCATTTTCGTTTTTAAGCTCTTGTAGTTCGAACCCTAGAAGCTGTGGTCGTACCAATGGCCAAGATAGTAGAGAGTAAATCAACACATTATTATCCTAGTACTGCATATGATGAGGACTCCGACAACGATGAAACCGTGGACATAAACGGTTTCTGTATTTTACAATCCCAGGTAAGCAATATTTTACAACTCCAATTTTTTTTTACAAATTCTTCAGGTTCATTAGAAAATATGTAAATCGAATCATCTTGTTTTCATTAATATGTTTTACAGTTAGGTCAAGCGAAGCTAATCTTTAAAGAACATCCAGAGACATCCTCAAATTTTCATCTAAAGAGTGTATTTGCCAAGAGAACGTACTTGACTGCCCTACTCAACCTCGTCGACAAGATGAACTAAAAGAAGCAGACAACACAATTTGGGATCTTGAAGCTGCTGGTTTCAAACTGGATTGGTTGAAACAGAAACTTGAGGAGATTCGTGTTATTGTAAAAGAAGCACAAGACCGTGCCGCTCGGATGAGAGAACTAGACCGGAAGATCTTGGGGAAGATGAAGGAGTTGGTGGTCCTTGAAGACAAATTGAAGAAGGAACAGCTTAAGGCTATGTCGGACGAACTTGGATATTATTACTGCTTTTTTATTTGAATAAAGTCTCACATTTTCATTCTGTTTAACCAAATACTCTTTAACACAAAGATTGAAAGTTTGATGCATTTTGTTTTTTTCTGTCTATTTTGATAGAATGAAATGGTAAAGAATTGCAACAAGTAGTTTTATCTTTGGCGGTACACAATTTCTATGAACATAAAATACATTCTACAAGTTGCATCTCTTATTAGTGATTATTTTCTTAATTTTCTGTTAAAAGTAATTACCAAAATAAAATATTTAAATGTATTATTACAACCGTTTAATTGAATCATTGTATCGTCTAGTTTGTTTTACTAACAATTACAACTTTTGATTATCTTATAAATCGTTGCAACATTTAGTTTGTTTGAGGAATTATTACAACAATTGGTATATATTTAATATAACTTTCTTTTGGTGCAAAACATAATTGTTGATTCATTCAATCCCAAAGAGTACAAGCTCGTCAACCTAAAGGTGATACAATAGGGCTGATCAAACACAAGATTACAACAAACATAGATACATAGATTGGAAATACATAAAGCGTTGTTGATAGATCCATAGGAGCTAGGAGACCGAGGCTACAACTTAAAATGCCACAAACATTAGTCACTATCACAAGAATTCGTGACGTTGGAAAAAGATCTTTAGCTTCAGTGGTTCTCCAATTTTTTGGGTTTCTAATTTTCTATATACTCCCAAAGATGTATGTAATGTGGGATTCTAAATATTACTAATTTACTAATATTGATACGCACGTAACGAACGATTCTTAGAGACCTTCACATTTGTTTTGGAGAAAATTGCCAAATTACAATAGTTATAAACGAATTTAGGTTTTTGATATTGATATGTCATGTTCCTCTCTGATCACATAAAAATAAATTTAAGTTCTATATTCATTTAATTTCATTTGTACGAAAAGGGTGATGATAAATTTTTTTTCGTAACATGTAACTTTTCTTCAAAACAAATTTAATGGTTATAATGTCTTTTAACCAAAAAAAAAAAAAAAAATTAATGGTTATATGAATGTCTAATACCCAACATACCATCGTAAAACATTCAAACCATAAACCTTAAATCATAAACTCTAAATGTCAACATCCATTTAGAAAAAAAAAATGTATAGCTAATATATTGTTGAAAAAAAAATATATGTTACAGAAAAATATTGCACTTGGCATAACATTTAAATGTTTTGCAAATATATAAGTCACTAATCGATTTTTACTTAATTTTTCTGATTTTTTTTTTTTTGTTATCCCACCTAATTACTCATTCTTTAGATGGTAGTATACATGGCCAACCTTCTAGATAATCATTCCAATCAAACAACATGAAAGATAATACCAAACAAAAACTTGACTGTGTCAATAGGAAAACAAAAAACAAAAAAAGCAAACCTTCCTTGGCCACATCTGAGAATGCGGAAAAAAGCCTTTGGGCCGTGATAGTGAAACGTATAGATCTTGTCGGCAACAAAATTGGTACAGTTCACTAGTGTGATACTTTATCATCACTATTTTAGTATTCTTTTTTGGAATTTTAAATTTCATGCTCTCTTGGACTTGGTCCTGTTGCCAAATCTTGCTTATGCTGATTCCATTGTTTATGTTTTATGATACTATCATTTCACTTAATAAGTCTCATTTATTTGATACTGATGACTAGAACTCGATCGAGTTCGTATATATATTAGCACGACTTGTGTTTGTGTTTGTGTACTTAGGGTTACTATTACTTGAGTGACAAAAATGCTAAGAAATCAACTTTTAAGACAAATGCAAAAACTTTTGTACCTTTTAAAAGTAGTTTCTACGTAGTACTCCTTGATGCAATTATATGTTATACTTACTCTTGTTCAGTGGATATTAGATTTGTCTTTATCTCTATGTCGGTAGAGAGATTAGAAGAAGGATCCTTAACAAGTATCAATAGTGGATGACTTTTCTGTCCAAATAAATAATCATTATATTTTTTTTAAAAAATAATGTAAAATTATATTAAGAAATTAAAAATCGTTTTTACAACATGTGCAACGGGAGATCAATACATTTGGGTTATGAAGGAGAAACTAAGATTTAGAGGCTAGTATTGAGAGGTGAATCAAAGTTGCATTCCTTTTTCGTATCGCCTATCACCCATAAGCTTAATGGACGAGAGTCGATCGCGCATTTGTTTACCGATGAAGTTTATGAGGTGAGCTGCAGTGTTACGAGGATCCCCATGCTGTCGCCCATTCCTCTCCCTCCAAATTGTATAAATCGCGGTTTGAAACAAGTATCTTGCCATAAAGCTGTCAAGACGAGTTGGCCATTGCCCGCCCAAATAAATAATCATTATAACATATAAACATAATTATGTTTGGATTTGTAATCAAATACTTATAATTAATAAACCCAAAAAAGAAAAAAATACCTAACCAAAAAAAAAGAAGCATAAATCTAAAGATTTAAAAGTTTCTACATCAGATTTAGGATTCGAGTTTGAGAAAATACAGTTGAATGAAGATTAATGGAACTAAAGATACCATAGTTTAGAACATCACAAGTAGAATTTTTTTTTTGTAAAAGAGTCACAAGTAGAATTATCCATCGTGATTTTATGTGTTGCATGGCGAGTCTGTCTATCGTAAGAATATCGTACATGTTTGTGGAGAGTACTGTTCGGTGAAATCATTATCCATGAAAACTATACATTATAACTGTGTTTACTACAGTTAGTTAAATCTTATCATAGCAAGGATTAGATCAGATATTTTTTCTTATAATGTAATTAACCACAAAACGATATTGATATATGATAATATTTAACAGTAAGAAAAAGAGAATTCTGAAATCTCTAGAAGTTTATGAGTGCGCTGTGTTTATAGATATTTTTGTAAACTAGTGGAGTTGTCATTTACATTGATTCAAATATAGCTACAAACTTACTATGAATCCAACACGTATAGCGGTATAGAGAATACTATGGTAGTTATCTTCTAAATCTAATTACTACTTCGGTTATAATGCGATAACTTACTTTAACTTTACTTTTGATAAAACAATTGCATTCTTTTTATCCAACTTCGTTGTATTTTTTTGACTTTTCTCGTTTCCTATCCTCCTCATTTTTTCTATAAATAGAGGCCATGCATCGTAACATTTTATTCATCACTTGTGTTAACATACTAAGAGAGTCATAAGAAAGAAATTGAGAGAAAAAAAAAAATGGCTTCCAAGGCTTTGATACTGTTGGGTCTCTTTGCAATTCTTCTCGTCGTCTCCGAAGTGTCTGCCGCAAGAGAGTCCGGTACGTAAAAGTTTAATATACATTTCAATGATCTAATTCTACTATTGGATACTATTCTTAATATATATATAAAAAATACAAGAAATGTTTGTGATTAGGGTAATATAGAACTTGGATTAACGTACCATTTCGTAAATTTATCCAACTATTTTGTCCTATCCATTATTATGTGATATGGAGTACTCATGGACGTACTATTTATAAGTTTTTTTTTTTTGAAAACTATGTCTAGAAAGTATATTTAATATTGTAAATTATTTTGAAGAAACTAGAGATTATTTTGTATATGCATGTGCACGTGCATAACACTATATTTGAAATGATATTTTTTGGGCAGGCATGGTGAAGCCAGAGAGTGAGGAAACAGTGAAACCTGAAGGTTATGGACACGGCGGTCACGGAGGTGGAGGACACTATGGAGGAGGAGGTGGAGGACACTACGGTGGAGGAGGAGGAGGAGGCCACTACGGTGGAGGTGGAGGAGGAGGCCACTACGGTGGAGGAGGAGGCCACGGACATGGAGGAGGAGGACACGGTCTTGAGGGATACAACGGAGGACATGGTGGTCACGGAGGAGGATACAACGGAGGAGGAGGTCATGGAGGTCACGGAGGAGGATACAACGGAGGAGGACACCACGGTGGAGGAGGTCACGGGCTTAACGAACCTGTTCAGACTCAGCCCGGTGTTTAAAACTAATATCATGTATTCACCACCATGCATGGTTGCACTTAATATATACATGTATGTGTACTCTTAGTTATGCTTATGTGTGTGTATGACTATAAATAAACCATGGTGAGTTTGTAATGCAGTCCCTTCAGAAATGTTTTTGCAATAAAGTTTCATGAATATCAGCATAATTTCACTATGTTTCATAAGGACTTAATTAGTATAAGAATTTAAAGTCTCATAATATTCAAAATAAATTGATTCATTTAGTTGCTTCAAAAAAAATTAATGGTTGAAATGATGAATAATCAAAACGACAATATATATATCACTAAGAAAACATGGTATTGTTTACCAATTTTCTTACAAAAAAATTAGAGGCTTCTTTAATTTTCGTTAGTGTTTTACTCAAAACATATACACAGATTGATGTGTTTAAGTATCCCACCAAGAGCCACACTTTCTACAAGTGTAGTGTCTTTGTTAGTTTATAATTGAGTTTCAGTTTTAATATTATAACTATATATGTATGTTAAGTTTTATCGTAATAAGGTAGTTATTTGTCAAAAGTCACAAATGAAGTAAAGACACAACTCTTCTCTTCAAGTTGTAACTCCTTATGTGGTGTCTTTCAGTTGGATTTAGATGAACTCTCATTGCAATTAGTATTTACAAAAAGCTTTTTTTTTTTTTTTTTTTTTTGTCTTGAGGGAGTGAAAAGCTGTGCATTGTTGTAACTACGGTGTATAGATTGAGAGACAGGGAGAGAGAGAGGTGTATCCTTTTATGAATACTACTCTTGTACTCTTCTAGTTTGTCTTAAGGTTCCTCTTTGTCTAGGTTTGTGTTAAGAACTGGTTTATTACTTGAAGTGAGCTTTTTTTTTTTATCGAACTTGTTCTTGTTTTTTCTAGGCAACGGTGATAAAATAGTGGAACAAATGGCGATGGTGGAAGCCGCGCTGGAAACGATGGCAGTGGCGAAGAAGACTGAAGAGAAGTGATAGTTGATGTAGCAATTTTTCTCAACTTATTTATCGGTTTGAGTTTAAGCTCAACACAATAGGAATACACAAAGATGCTTCAACCCAAATTAATCTAAATTAATGAGATGAGTTTTGATTTCTAAATGTAACTAACAACCCAAAATATATAAGACAAAAGAAAGCAATGATCAAAAGACAAAGAAGATTCAAATTGAAGCAAAACGGAAAAAAACAATTCACTAAACGATAACTAAAAGCGAATCCTCTGAATTAATGAAATCGATCAGAAGAAAAACGAAGTGGATTATGCAGCTAACAACTACAAACAAACAAAAATCCAAAGCTATAGACACTTAACTAGACTAGTGCATTTTCATTACAATAATCATTTCATTAACCAAATAATCATCAAATTCTTCCAAAGACAATTAGATGACTAACAAGTATTAATAACAAGTTTATCTAGCCACTAAACATCCTAATAAACATTTTCCAATGGCAAAAGGCAGTTAGATGACTAACTAGTATTAATAACAAGTCTATCTAGCCACTAAACATCCTAATCAATATTTTCCAATTGCAAGAAGTGTAAAACTCTTAAATATTTTGGTTCAGAAATTTCATGGAACACTTTTCATTGTGTGATATTTAGAACTTTACAAAAGTATTTATCTAAAACTTTCAATATTTTCAAATATATATTTTATTTTCATTTATCTTTTTCTTTTAACAAAATAAAAATACAAAAAACTATATATTATTTTAAAAGAGTTTACATTCCTTTGATATATATTTTTAAAGTATATTAATCATAGTTAACTATTGTAATTTCAAAAATGTTAAATAATTAGATATCTTATCTCGATTGGCTGTTTTCAATCTTACATGCACAATCTCATGAGCTACTCATTTTCTTAACTTTTGTAATTTTTAGCTAATTTTGTAGTGTATCTCTCAATAAGAACCAAAAAATTTAGTTTCTTAAAGTTGTGCCATAGGTAAAAATGGTTTATGCATCCGCTAAAATAACAAATTTATATGAACTCGAATTCTGGTGAAAAAGACCAGAACTATATTTCACGCATGATCTGTTGGACTATCACTTCACTTATTTGGATCTTGCTATGATGATTCCATTGTTTATGAGATTATCACTTCACTTTGTGACTCATTTAAGTTTATGCATTTGATAATTACGAAACTCATATCAATTTGGACCATATAATTAGTCTCTCTATATCATATATCAGCTATATAAACTGTAGTGGCTAGTAGAACTCGAGTTAAAATTAGAGTTACCATTAAAGTCTATATCATATAGCAATCAGCTGTTTCATTTCTAAATCAGTCGCCTGTCGTAATCTCAAATAGTAAATATAGAGTGAAAGAAAATTCTAAGAAATTCTCACAAATGAACTAGCTACATGACTACACTTAGTAACATGGAAAAAAACTTAGGTACTGGCTAAAATATTCGTATTCACGATGGCCAAGCAAAACTTTCTACGTACGTAGTACTCCTTTAAGCAATTTTGCTAATTAATATTGTTCAGTGGATATAGATTTGTCTTTATCCCTCTGTCGGAAGAAGGATCCGTAACAAGTATCAGCCATAGTGGACGACTAATCTGTCCAAAAAGATAAATCATTATAACATATTTACAGAATTACAATCTAAATATTTTAACAGGAAATTATATTTAATTAAATATCAAACTTTTAAGATTTGTTCAAAGAATATCTCTAAAAAAATTGATTAAGTTTTAGTTTCTTAAAATGGCATAAAGTAAATATTAAATTTTCAACTTTCAAAACCTAAATTTTAGATTATAATTAAACACTATACCCTATTCCCTAAAAATATTCTATAATTCTAAATAGTTTATTCATACTCAAAAAAAAAGTCTAAATTTTTTTAAAATTAGTATTTATGTTTGTGATAATACTATATTTTTGATAATATTTTGAAATATTAAATTAATAGCAGAGTTTTGACAACAAAACTTAAAAATATAGTATTATGAGGCATTTCTCAGAAAAAAAAAAACATAACTATTTGATACGATAAATAGTTACAGAAATACTATAATATGGAAGTTTATGAATGCACTTTGTATATAAAATTACTTTTTAAACTAGTGGAGTTGTCATTTACATTGTACATTGTACCATAAGGGTCTATTACTTATATCTCCTAAATCTAATTACTACTTGTTAATATTGTAAATATACTTTAACTTTACTTTTGATAAAACAATTTCCTTCTTTTTATCCAACTTCGTTGTATTTTTTTGACTTTTCTCGTTCCCTATCCTCCTCATTTTTTCTATAAATAGAGGCCATGCATCGTAACATTTTTATTCATCACTTGGTTTAACATACTGAGAGAGATATAAGAAAGAAGTTGAGAACAAAAAAATGGCTTCCAAGACTTTGATACTGTTGGGTCTCTTTGCAATTCTTCTCGTTGTCTCCGAAGTGTCTGCCGCAAGGGAGTCCGGTACGTTAAAGTTTTTATACATTCCAGTTCGTGATCGAACTTGAACTAACGTACCATTTAGTAAACTTGTCCGATCCATTATGTGGACTTAGTTAAGGCAAGACAAACTTCACGTAAGTCATATGGAGTCATGTACGTACTATTTATAAGTTTTGTGCAAATTTTGTTAGAAAGTATCTTATACTTTGAAGTCTTTAAAATGAAAAAAAAAGAATTGAAACCGGGAAGAGGAATGAGCATGTGCACGTGCTTACCAATATGTTTGAAATTATGTTTTTTTGGGCAGGCATGGTGAAGCCGGAGAGTGAGGAAACAGTGCAACCTGAAGGTTATGGCGGCCACGGCGGCCATGGCGGTCATGGAGGCCATGGTGGCCACGGAGGTCATGGACATGGAGGAGGAGGCCATGGACTTGACGGATACCACGGAGGACATGGTGGTCACGGAGGAGGAAGTTACGGAGGAGGTGGTTACGGAGGCGGAGGTTACGGAGGAGGTGGTCACGGAGGAGGATACAACGGAGGAGGACACCACGGAGGAGGAGGCCACGGGCTTAATGAACCTGTTCAGACGAAGCCCGGTGTTTAAAACTATATAATGTATTCACCACCATGCATGGTTGCACTTATATGTACACTTATGTGTGTGTATGACTTTAAATAAACCATGGTGAGTTTGTAATGCAGTCCCATCCCTTCAGTGATGTTTGGAATAAAGTTTCATAATATCAGTATAATTTCTCTCTGCTTGAGTTATATTTGCACTGTTTGCATAATAATTTCGTTTCTAGGTCATATCTATTACTCTCTATATATCGGTTTATTATTGTTTCCTTAATATATTCTTAGGGTTGAATTACTTTATAAAAATATTACCAAACACCTAGAGACTATCAAGGTTTTGCATATATACACCAACATTTACAAAGTTTAGTAAACATACATAAGTTCCATGAGGACTGATCTTGTAGTTGACTAAAACCAAACTGCAAGTCTCACTTGTATAAGATTTAATTTAATGACTAATAGAGATGCTTGTAAAATTTGATTATGTAATATAAGAGAATGTTTTATGACTAAGTGCTAACAGCTCAATTGGTAAAGATCTCTGACAAAAAGCTTAGAGGTTGTCGGTTCGAGTAGCGTTTGGGACGAAACCATATAACATGCTCTGGTTTTTGGCCTGATGGGATGTATGGGCTTCAGTTTATAACTTATTTGATTATTAAAAAAAAAAAGAATGTTTTCTGAATTACTAGTGAAAAAATTTAAATTTTACCTTAGTCATAATATTGAAAACGAATTGATTCATTTGGTTGCTTCGAAAATGAAAAAAAATATATATATTATGAGAGTGAAACACACAACATATTTTTTCTGTAATTTTGGATTTTATTCGAAATGCGAGCTATAGAAGGAAAAGCTAAGGATATAAGTATTGAGAAAATTTATCCATAGAAAAGACAATATGATGAATTTATTGGTAATTAAACGTTATTATCCATAGAAGAAACATTATAAAATTTAATTTATATTCACATGATTACACATTTTAATTTAGTATATTCAAACAAAAATTTCAAATATATATATATATATTGATATATCAAGCTATGAGTTTATTTGATAAAAGGTGTGAACTAGCACAGGGAAAAATAGCCAAAATCCAAAATCCGAATCAGATCCGACCCAAAAAACCGATTAAAACCGGATTCGGTTACTACTGAAAACCCGATCGGGTTACAAATAACTTTTACCACGCACACAAATTTATTTATTTATTTTTTTGGTAAAAGACGCATACACATTTTTTAAATACGTATCGCTTTCGAGCAGTCCATTCAATTTACAGAATTTTCACATTGTATCTAAAATATGAAATCATTTTTACTGATAGGTCGAAGTGGTTAAAACAATTACACATTTGTAAGGTATTGATCTTTTATATAAATTTAATTACATGAAAATGCTTCTTCAAAATACTATTCTACTACTTGGTTCACAAAGATGCTATTTTACTACAAAAAGTGACCAAGTCATATTCTTATATAATATATCACTAATAAAAAGTTAAATATGATAATATTTTTAAGTTATGCACAACCTCGAACGACCGTAATTATTGTCATTGAGCACAAAGGGTTTGGTTCGTATAAGTTCCCAATTTTCATTAGCTTTCTTTTTAATAGTGTCAGCATCATTCAGCCATCGTTATTGACTTATTTGGTTATTGCCTTTAAAGTTTTGGTTCGAGACTAACAAGTCAATTCATTGAGTGAGTGTGAGTGAGACTCTTCGTTAACACTTGCATGGACTACATTTCATGATATCTTAAGTGACTAGGTGATAACATATAGCCACGAGACACCTCACCATTGACATTAATTAAATGTTAATGAACATTTGCATTTTTCTAATTAAATTATCTCTAACCTTCACGTGTGTGGATGAACACACTCGAGACTCCACGTACATATCTACCATTGAAAAAATATGTCCTTTATGACAAGGAAACATAGATAAATTGCAAAACAAAATCCCACATAGTAATATAATTATAAACTATGATTGGATCGCATGTTGTCTAAATAGATATCTATAGAGCTAGAATTTTTGAGATAATCACTTTTAAAATACTATAGTACATATTTTTTTTTTATGGATCACTCGTTCGTTTTCTTTTTTACTTTATCGACATAAAATAAGAGAAATTTTTATATACTTTTTTTTTTAATTATACAGGCCTACAGGGCCACTAGATTTGTCTCTTTCGTCATTAACCAAAAAACTCTCTACTCTTTTTTAATTTATTGTCAATAGAAATTCTCTAGATGAGTTACTTTGGACGGTGGCATATTTAGTGATTTTTTTTTTCTTCTTTTCTTGTTTGCAAATACAAAAAGTTTTCGTTATGTCAAACTTTATTAGTTGTTTTGTTACTGATTTACGCTATATATTTGCACATTAAAGAATGATAAAAGAGAAATTGGGAATGAAACATTGTGCGAGACCATAACTTCACCAGATGTGGATTAATCTTGCGAACATACACCATTGAAACAGTTTAATACGAAGAGCTGCCAAGATACTTGCAAAATCGTACATCAACTAGCTAGTGAAATGATCGGAAAAATAAATAATTGAGAAATGTACGTGTAAAAGTACTAGTTGATGTATATAATTATGGTGAGTGCCTGTCCAACATTTATAAAGATCTTACTCAAAAAAAAAAAAGAATTACCTTCCTTTATTATTTAAATTCATAAATAATATCAATTGTTTCTTTTTCCAGCTTCAAACTTAAAAAATACCTAATTTCAAAAATACAAGGAACATAAAACATCAAAACCAAAAGATAATCATAGAACCGATGATACATAAGTTTCATGATATATAGACAATACTAGATTTGGACCCGCACGTACGTGCGAGATTGATTTTCAAAAACTAAGTTTGCTATCATGTTTGCAACATATTACGCACATGTGGTGTTATGTTTGTAAATGTAATTATATTAGCAATATTATTCAAATTCAAAATCTGAGTTCGCACCAGTTTAATATTTATTTGTTATTAATTCAGTTACAAAAAAATTAGGATTTGGTTTTGTTATCAACTACATTAAAAAAAAAGTAAAGAAAAGGTGGTTTGTTTATTTTGAGACAGGAACCCGTCTCGTCTCGTTCTTTCTTAGATGTGTCATGTTTTTCTATCTTATAACCATGGTTTTAATAATAATTTATCTATTTGAGATAGTGAATTTTAGTCCAACAAATGAAAAATAGGTCAATGATTGAGACTTATTCGTAGATATATTTATTTCGTATAACATTTGTAACATAAACATACATTGGTATGTTTTTATTAAGTTTATGAATGCTTGAAATAATAATCGCTTCACAATAAACTTTGGATCGATAGGATAGCGAATCCAAATTGAATGTGAACCAGATTAGTAATCATCTTAATTTCCGTTAAACCCGTGAACTATCAGACCGGATGAAAATTAGTTTCAAAATTAATGAAAATTAAATCTGCTGAGAATTAATGACAGCAAAATAAATAATTTTAACAGAAAATAAAGATGATTTCCATAATATTAGTTTTGGAAATGATTGAGGTTTGAGATTTTGAACTTTATGATTAGTATCTATGATATAAATAAAATTTTTTATATATAAACATAAAATCATGTTACCTATTTTCAAGTGTGGTAAATGGTATGAAATTTTAATTGCTTTGTTATATTAGTTACGTATAGTAGTAATTTTGGGGATTTAGATTTTGTTTTCGATTTCCTTTCCAATTTTTTTTTTTAGTTTGAAACGACTTTTTAAATATTACAAAGTGTGTAATTTATTTATTTTATATTAATTATGGTTAATACTAATTGTGAAGGATCTAGATCTTGTTTCTTTTATATAATTTTAATAATTAAATTCACTTCCTAAATAATTAATAAGAAATTGTATGGATTCCCAAAGTTGCGTTCTTTTTTTTGGTGGAACCCAAAGTTGCGTTCTTGTAATAGGGTTTCCTAAATTATTAAACGCTAATTGCCCCTAAAGAATGTTTGATTACAAATTTATTTTATGTTAAAATGACATTATATTTCTTTTTGACATTATATTTCTTTTTTTTTTAAAGATCTTGAAATGTATTACGATTTTCTAAATTATTTAATTCTAATTGCATCATAAAGAATGTTTGGTACAAATATATTTTCTGTTAAAATGACATAATATTGGTTCTTTTTTTAAGGGATTCTTTCATATATTTATTTTCTGTTAAAATTATTTATTTTGCTGTCATTAATTCTGTTTGGTTATAGGTTTAGGATTACATAAAATGTAATTTTTTTTTTTAATTCTGTTTGGTTATACTTATAAAAAATCTTCCCTTTTAATAGTATAGATTAATACTACTTAATAAATATGTCTATGTTAGATTTTTTTTTTAATTTGATAAACTATAATATTTTGGATCTTAAGTTTTTTTTTTTTGTTGGTTTAATTTGGATCTTAAGTTATTGTTTAGGTACGGTTGCTTATATTACGGGTGGCTCTTCCTATGGTTCTTCCTATAAACTTATAGATCCCTGAACTAATAATATCTATGGTGGCGAGCTAATATCATTAATTTTTTTTAATGTATTGTTGGTTTAAATCGGATTAATCAAAATGTGTTTGATAACTCTCCTATAACACATAAAGTGATTATGTATAAAAGAAGAAAATGAATAATCAGTTAAAATATAGAAAACTAATGAATTTAACAATGAAATAGTCAAAAGTGAGATCAATAGCTCAATAGCCTAACTGGTCAAAATCTCTAACAAAAATCTAGAAATCGTCGATTTGAATAGTATTTAAGATAAGATTATACTACCTATTTTAATTTCAGGCCTGAAAACATGAATAGATTTCGTTTCAGAGAAAATTACTCTAGTCGAAATACTAATATATATGTTTTATATTCGTAAATAAAATCTTATAATAAGTTATACATTAAATATATAAAGAAAATTATTGATCATTTTGGAGAAAAATACATCGTTGCTCAGGTCAAAAAACGCGGAAAGCCCTTTCGAGTCAGTGCATTGAGATCTTGTCGGATAACAAAATTGCTTGTCTTCTGTAATAATACTTTATTAGCACTAGTTTTTTTTCTTGCTCCGGTTTCTAAACTCTTCCTTATGATTCCTATGATTATAATGAGACCATAGTATTATATCAGTCTCTAACTTTAAATTATGCCTCTTTGATTACGAAGTTCTTTACGTTACCATTGGACCCTAGCTAGATCTCTCTATATTATGCAAAATCCACTTTGTTCTCCGGAAATATGTATTATATTGTTTTGCACATTAGATGACTAATGACTAATTAAGCTACCATTACTAGTTTCTTGTGCTTTATATATATATTAATATATATGTATATTAATTCCTGGGGGATATGCAAAAATATGTTTTTACATACCTTTTTACAAAAATATCATTAGATCGTTTTTATTGTTTATTTTCAATAATACCCTTTTTATTTTTATATTCTCGAATAATTTTAAATGGATACAATTGATAGTAACCGGTTTATAGAGTTATAGTGTTATAATAGATATAAAAGAAGAGTGGTAAAATATATCAAGGATAATAAATTAAGTAACAATTATATATACAAGGCTACAAAATAGAGACTACGCTACCATCCAAATAATATTTCTATGAATATTGAAAATGGTTTCAGCAGAAAATATAAAATATAAAATATAAATATAAAGGGACCCTCTAAAACATTTTCAGAAATATTAAATAGTTATGGATGGATAGCATATAATGCATGTGATGATAAAAAAAATTTATACTCTTTAAAGTATTTTCTATGACTGTTAACGTTTATTAATAAGCTATTCAAAATGTATAGATAAATAAACCGCACTGTTTAATAAGCTAGCTATTCACAATTCATAAGAACGTTTATAAGTAAGAATATATTACAAAAAATGATAAAGAAATGCGATTACACTAAACATTTTCTAGGTTTTTAACCTTTTATATATTACAGTTATAAGTAAAGAGTGTAGATGGAACTATGCGACCTTCCAATATTTTTCTTCTTTTCTTTAAACTTCAAACTTGATCATATTTTATTAGAGAGAAAAAGAAAATCCATGAGAAACAAAACCAGGAAATTAAAATTGAGAATTATAAAGATTATGATAAATTATTAAAAATGCTTACAAAAAATATAGAACAAAGTGTATGAGATACCATAGTAACAAACATAGTTATCAAATTCACGTCTATGTAAAATGTACCTAGCAAGGATGGATAACAACAAAATGTCTACTACACTCAATAACTTCAGACAAGACTCGTCTCCTCTACGAATGCATCAAGCCAACTTTACGCTTAGGTACCTTGGCTTAGTTAGATAGATAGTTTGATTGCAATCAACTATACCCAAGCAAATTCCCAATAAAATCTTCATTATTGAGACCTTCAAGGTAAGTCCTTAGTAAGTTACTACATATTACTCCTCTATCATCTACTTCACTCATTTTAGCTACTCATATTCACTGAATACAGCTTTATCTGTCGGCAGAGATTGGAAAGAATATACTTATAACAAATATCAATATAGTGACAATCAATACTATACGACTTTTCTACCCAAATTCTAAATATCTACATGTGTACGACTCCAAAAAGACTAGTGGACTAGCCTAGCCGTTTACGGAGTACTTCCAAATTTATTACAATGAGTCCAACAACGGACCATAAAGGGTCCCCGACGCATGCAACACGTATACACTAATTTGAATTCTTATCTTCTTACCACTTTGGTTTTATTGTAATATCTAATTTTATTTCATTACTGATTTAGTTATATATTTGACTTTTCTCCTTCCCTATTCTCCTCATGTTTCTATAAATAGAGGCCATGCATCGTAACATTTTATTCATCACTTGGTTTAACATACTAAGAGAGTTATAAGAAAGAAAGAAAAAAAAAAATGGCTTCCAAGGCTTTGATATTGTTGGGTCTCTTTGCAATTCTTTTCGTCGTCTCCGAAGTGGCTGCCGCAAGTACGTAAACTTGTTTGATATTAAGTTCATTTCATCAGTTTTAATATTATGTTTATGTTTAGGCTAATTGAATATATCATATTAAAGAAATGATATTTATATGCAAATTTTATGTAGAACGTTAACGTTGTAAAGTTTTTTTTATTAAAGAAGGAGGACTTGTGAGTTTATATGCAAATGTTAAGTTAATACACAAGTTTGAAATTAGGTAGAGGCATGCACATTTACAAGTGCTAACCATGTTTTTGTTTTGGACAGGCACAGGGAAGCCAGAGACTGAGGAAACTGTTCACCCTGATGGTTATGGTGGTGGATACAACAGAGGAGGAGGCGGTGGCCACGGTGGATACAGCGGAGGAGGACGCAAAGGAGGAGGAGGAGGACACGGGCTTAACGCAGAAGGACAAAACTAATGTAATGACCATCATGCAAGATTTGTATCTATATAAACGCTTATGTGTGACAATAAGTAAACCATGGTTGAATGTGTATTGAAGTTAAGTACCTGAAGAAGAGAAACCATGGAAAAAAAAAGTTTCATATATAATGTAATGTCGTCTTTGTGTTTGAGTTGTAACCTTCTCCATTTGCATAAATAAATCATTTCTAGTTTTATGTTACTATCTTTTGTTTTTTTGGTAAGAGTTTTGTTTACTTATTCGTACTCTTAGGGTTGGAGAACAAAACGTATATGTAAACCAAGGCTGGCCAATGGTTGTTAACACAAAACTTTACCAATTCTAATATAAGGTTAGTTTGATGTGTGTGAACAAATATGCAAAAGCAGTTTAGTGACTTTATGCATGAGATGTTATTATGCATTTAATTTTAAGCAGTATAGGGATAGGAAAAGTTTGCAAACAGTCATAATTATGAATATGTATCTTTGTTTCATGATTATAATAATAAAATGATAGATGCATATATCAAATTAACGATAGTAACAGTTCATTATATTAATTAACAACAGAATATTTTTGAATTTGAATATGTAGAGATAAATCATGTTAATTATATTAATTATACATTTATAGAAAATATAAATATATGTATAATAAATATTGTTATTTTTAAACCACACAATTGTGTTGTATAGTTCAAAATCAAGATTATATAAATTATTTATTATCCATTCATTATGTATAAATTTGACTATAAATAAATTTATAAACGTATGGCAATGTTATATTTTAACTTATAGCACAAAAAAAATTTTTGTTTCCAAATTTATCACACAATTTATTAAGTTTTAATCATCGCACCATATTTCAAGATTAAATCATAAACTCTAAACACTGAACCATACCTCCTAAAATCTACATCATAAATCTAAAATAATATTTTCAAATCTTAAAAAAGAAATAGATTCTAAAACTAATGTCAATTAGTGTTATTTTTGGAAATTTATGTAGTATGTGCTATAATTTATCTACAAAACTTACTATTTTAAGCTATTTCTCGAAGTATATTGACTCCAATTAAAATTAGTTTGCAACCCCCATGCAAAACTAATCAAAACACATGCAAAAGAAATAAACCGACGCTAATTTATTGGGATTTATGTAGAAACTTAAAAACCCACTAGTAATGATCTACGGTTAAGTTCAAAATCTATAAAAAACTAGTTTTCTAGCTATAAGATATATGATTTTTCTAGAATTTATATATAGTTCAAATTTTGCAATAGTTGTTTTTTTTTTGCCTCAGGTAACTAAATTATATGCTTGCCTGAGTTTTAAGTTGTGAGGAGGATATCATCAAGCGGACAGATCCCATGAAGTTGACATGAACCATCTCTTCACGGTTTGTAGAACTCACCTCTCTCTCAGAAATTGATCTTTCACACAACATCTTACTGGCACCATTTCTTTTGAGCTCACCAAGTTAAATATGACTAGTGACTCAATGTATCATTTTATAAACTTTATGGGAAAGTGCTGTAGGAGAATAGTTGTAGTCTTGTATAAGCATTATCCGAACACCGAGACCTAAACATTTTTATAATACCAATATTAAGAAAAGCATTGTTAGATATAAAAAAAATATAAATACTAAATTACTATTGGAATTATTGGGCTGCGTATAGAGAGAAATTTTTTAAGTAAAGGTAATTTTTGGTAATGTGTTAACTCAACTTGTAAAAAATTAATTCTGTTGTTTGCATAAATTTATAATGACGATATATTATTATTATTAAAATAATTTAAATAAATAAAAAAGAAAAATCTAGAGAAAAAGTAAGTAAAACATAAGAAAAAAAGAGCAAAACATAAGTAAAACTTTTATAATATTAACAAGAGAAATACATTAAGATAGCACTATTCTAGATTTTTTTTCCAAAGTTAGCATACACGCTCAAGTATTCTATATCTAGCATTTTTTAAGAATAAGTATATAATTTAAATGAAAATATTATTATTTAAAAGAAAAAAAATTCAAACTCATGATCTATACCTAGAAAATTACCTGAAGCGATGCCCCAAGTGTGTCTCGTACGAACGGCGTAAACAGAGACACACTCACACAATGACATCTTCTAACCAAAGCCTCGTCGAATCGATCCGACATCGAGGTGAAACCCCAAAGCTGACGTGCATGCTTCCGACGGAGATGAAGCGTTTAGAAGGATGAAGAGAAAAAGAAGCGATTTTCTGAAAAGTAATATTTGATGGAGATTTGCGTATATAATTTTGTGCTAATTTTAAATTATTTAATAGTGTGTGCTAATTTTGGACTAAAAACTTAAATCTGTGCTATTTGTGAGAATTTCCCTATTAACAATCTGTAAATGCTTTCTATTGTTGCATATTTCTATGGGAAAAATGCCATTAAAATCCTGGAGAGTAAGATTTCGTTGATTTAAATCATGTACTCTCCAACTGTTAATTTAAATCACAAAATTTTGGTTGACTCTCTCTTTATTATGAAACTTTGGTTGACTTTACCAATTTAAGTACATCGTTAAATGGCCGGACAGAACAATTAAATGGGGTTAATTCTCGTTATCGATATCTGTCAAATACAAAACGAAACCGTTTTAAACATAATCCAAAACGAAACCGTTTTAAACATAATCCAAAACATTGATAATCTTTCGTAACCTTTCGTTAAATAACAATGATAATCCAATAATCTAATTTATCAAAATATCAAAAGACTTGTGGGGTTTCCATTTATGAAGTTTCAAAATCATTACAACGATATAAATTAAAGGGGACCCGACACAATTATAATGTGATAAACTCTCTTATCTTTTATTGGCTTATGGACTAGTTCTTTGATTTTCTCATCTCCTCCTACATTATCCTTTAAATAGACAAGCATGCAAGATAACATCTTATCCATCACTTGTCAGTAAGAGAGTTTTAAGCAATTGAGCTAATGGCTTCCAAGGCTTTGGTTCTGTTGAGTCTCTTTGCAATTCTTCTCGTCGTATCCGAAGTGGCCGCGGCAGCCGAAACACAGTCCGGTACTTAAAATGATTATACATATTTCAATCTATTTAATTTCGTTCTTTAAAATGAGAAATATATAACAAGAACTAACGTAACATTTGATGATTCATGCATCCTACGAGGCTACGACTGTTTTTGGCTTGAGAAACTGTTAATTTTAAAGCCACTATAGTTAGAAAAAACTTAAGTACGATTTATAATTTTTCTATTTACCAGACCAGCTCGAGCTATATTTTGAACGTATGTTTAGTGAAAATCATATCGTGAATACATACTGAATCATATAAAAATCGTTTTTTTTTTTTTTGGATTTTACTGATGTCAAAAAAATAAATTTACATATTTGAAATAATGTGTTGTTACACAATGAAGATTGATGAAACTGTGCAGCCTGATCAATATCGAAGAGGAGGTTACTGCTATCACGGCTGTTGCTTCAGAGGTTATAATGGCTTCTGCACAAGATGTTGCTCGTACGCTGGAGAAGCTGTTCAGACTCAGCCTGATCAGTGAAACAATATACTCTCTTCACCACCATGTATGATTAATGCATTATATATGTGTGAAATCACTTTAAGTAATCCATGATGTGTTTGTAATTGTATTGAATGTGCCTCAAGTATTTGAGGTAAGATAGATTAAGAAAAGTACTCTAGAATAAAGTTTGATGATGTAATTTTTTATGTTTATGTGTTTTGAGTTGTAAAATATATATTACAAATATAATTGGTCTAAACTCGATCGATCTAACTAGAAAAATGTTCTTTTTCATTCAATTTTATATTGGTTAAAAAAAAATATCGAACAACCAAAATTAGCTACTAATTCATTTCTTAAATAAATGAACCAAAACACATAAGAAAAAAAATATAAAATTTAATCACTTAATAAAGGTCAATTCTAAACAATTTGTTTTCATCTGATTATTTTGATGTTGGAAGGCACGACGGTTGAGGTGGTGATTGGAGCTCAAAGATGGCTCCGTGTAAAAGAAGGTATTGAACTGACTTGGTTTTATTGATTTCTCAACTTGAGTATTTATACAAGAGAATGTTTTACTTTTACGGATTGATCCGTCATAATATACAACATGAGTGTCAAAAAATTTAAAACATTTTTTTTTACAAAATTTTATGTATTTTAATATAAATTATATTACATTGATAAATATTGCCCGCGCGCGGTTCCTATCCTAGTACTATTACTGTAAACAGTGAATGATGGCTTTAAGAAGTTTATTATCGAAATAGCCAAAATACTTGTGGGGTGTTGCCATTTATGGAGATTCAAAATTATTTTACAATGAATCCAACATCTAACAGTTAGGGGACCCGATGTGATTTACAAATGAATCCATACTTAGACTTTTCTAGTGTAATAAACTCATTTGTTTCCTAAAAATAGAAGCCATGCAGGGTTACATTTTATATCCATCACTCTCTTTAAAATACTAAGAGAGTTACAAGAAGAAGTTTGAAAACAAAAATGGCTTCCAAGGCTTTGGTTCTGTTAGGTTTCTTTGCAGATCATATATAGATTTCAGTCAATTCAATATCTTCCTTTGGAGGTTATTTAAGTTAAGAAAGATGTGTTCATAATTTAAATATTCAAATCGTTACAAGAACTATAGTATGAAATTTAGATACATAATTTTCAAAGTTTTCAAACGAAAAGCTAGATTAATCGTGTGGAGGAGGTCGAGGTTACTGCTATCACGGATGCTGCTACAGAGGATACAATGGCTGCAGAAGGTGTTGCTCGTACGCTGGAGAAGCTGTTCAGACTCAGCCTGGTCACTAAAACAATACAACCTATTCACCAAACGATGCATGATTACATTATGTGTGTCTCACTTTAAGTAAAGCCATGGTGCCTTTGTAATGAAGTGCCTCAAGTCTTTGAGGCATGATGGAATAAAAAGTATAACCTGTGGGAATAAAGTTTGATAATGTAATGCTTATGTGTTTTGAGTTGTAATATGTGCACGTTTTGTCACAAAAAGAAGAAGATTGTGTGTACTGTATGTTAATCTCTTTCAGGTTTTTTTGTGTGGGTAATAGTGTGATATGTACTTTGTTCCAGCATTATTCATACACATGATACATGCTGAATTAAAGCATATATAACCGGGTCAGAATTAGGCATGACCGCGTTACGATTATCTACGGTTTATTAACCACCGGTTACGGTTATAAATTTTCTTTAACCATAACCTTAACCTTTATATATAGGGTCACAACGATTACGGTTATACACAATTACCGTTAAATCCGGTTACGGTTAAATATGGGTACGGTTAATTGATAATTATGATATATATAATATTATAAGCAAAATTTTATATTTTTTTACCATATCAAATAATTTTTATTTACAATATGAAATATATGTAATTATATGATTCAAATATTTATAGTATATCAGTTAAAGAAATTATTTTTGTTTAATCAAACACAACTACAAATATATAAATTAATGGTTATGAACCTACAACTATTTAAAATTAAATTATTTTTGATTTGATTAATGGAAATGAGAAGTGGAGTGGGTAAGAGTTACTAGTTTACACATTTACTCATTTAAATTTTTTTTTTGATGAAATAATTTTATTAAAGGTTTAACCGTACGGTTAATTATATGGTTAACCAATGGTTTTCTACGGTTACGGTTGATAACGGTTACGGTTAATATTTTTTTTATAACCGTGAATGATTTAGTTTTTACGGTTAACGGTTATATTTTTTAACCGTTTTATACGGTTACGGTTGAAAGTTAGAAATACGGTTAAAGTTAGATTTTGGTTATACCTAGTAAGAATACCTCTAATAAAGCCTATTATTCAAAATAGAAGTTTTACTCATGTTAGTTTTAATAGCCAAAATTTCCGCTCAACAACCTTGTTCGTTTGCGAGTAATGAAATAAAACTATTGGTGTAAGTTCCACCATTCGTAGGAGTTTTTCCATCTTGGAGTTAATCAAATATTTGTTTCATCCATATCTCTATTAATTTTTTCAGCCCAAAAGTTTGCTATAAATAAAACTACAAAAATAAATCATTTCTCAAAGAATGCTAAAACTTTTATGGACTGCCTGTACTACTCTCCCTGAAATATATCGTTTCAACTAGGTTCTTCCTATACTTTCAGCCTCTGCCCAATTTCACCTATACGATATATATCTATCAAATTTCATCCAAACTATATAATTCTATCCAATTAACCAAAATCAATTAAATTTTTCAATAACGTTTTATAATTGATAATTAGAGTACACTATACTGCGATTTGATTAAGTCTTACATGAATATGAGATCCCGTCTCTCTTTTTAACCGCAAATGAACCCCCATTTTAAGGTTTCATCAAAATCAAATCAATGGAAAAAATAGAAAACAAAATTAACGACTTTAAAAAGCGAATTTTTGATTTTAAAACGCAATTGAGAAGCTAAATGATTTGGGTTAACCTTTTTTTAACCCCAAATGAACCCCCACTTTTAGCTTTCATGAAAATCAAATCAATTTGAGAGAAAATAGAAAACGCAATTATCAATCTTAAAACACTATTGAGATTTTAAAATGATTTTGGTTGATTGGATAAAATTATATAGTTTGGATGTAATTTGATCGAATATATATCGTATAGGTGGAATTGGGCAGAGGCTGAAAATATAAAGGAAACCTAGTTGAAACGATATATTACAGGAGGACTAGTACATGCATATATAAAAGTTTTGTTTTCTTTCTAAATGCATCTATATATATAAAATTAACTTTTTCTCTATTCTCCTTATGCCACATCATCTTCCACATCAGCTGCCACATCATCATTTATCTTAATTTTTTTACATTGATTTAGAATTACAACACTTTAGTTTTTAATTTATAGTCTACCTCATAACTTAGCTTTTATTTAATTTTTATATTCAATAGTGGTTTTAAGAAAATAAATAATATAGTAAAAACATTTATGTCCAAAATAAATAAAACAAGTATCTATTTATAAAGTAATGATCAATTTTTTATTAATGGGGCTAAATACAAAACAAGGATATTTATACTATACAGATAGATATACCACTAAATTGATGTCATCCGAAGCCACATCAAACGAGAACGCAATCAATTTTAGGCATAAGAAGTAGAAAAAAAACTAAAAAGTAAAATGAAAACACTTGGATAAATAAATAAGTGGATTCACCAGAATAATTTGGTTTACAAGAACTGAAGGCTTTTGAAATGTAAGGTTCTAACATCTATTATTTGACCTAAATCAAAGTTAAACAAATAACAATAAAAATTTCATATACTAAATTAATACAAAAACAAGAGTAAAAACAAAAAATAAACAAAAAACAAAAAAAAATTCAAAATATAAAAAAACAATTATAAAACTCCTGCGTGCAGCGCGGATCAGCAACTAGTTGCAAATAAAGCTTAATTTTATGATACCTGATTTGGTAACCTCTTTGGTTGATTCTCTATTAATATTTTCCGATCTCTTGTACTGCATATTTTAAAAAGTAATCTGAAAATCAGTTATTATTCATCCATTACTGCTTGTGAGTCCTCCACTCCTCCGAAGAGTCATCGGTATATATAAACATAGAATTCTATTTCTCACCCTTTTTCTGTAGAAGCATGAAAACTTTTAACCAAAAATTTCTAATTTTTTTTTTCAGATATAACTCAAACATCTTCTCTCTCTCTCTTCACAAAGAGAGTCATTTTAGAGAAAAAAAATTGTTTCACAAAAAATGTCATTCTACATTTCCAATGTAGATTGTACATTAAATTTCCAAATTTACCTATAAACCAAAAGTTCATTTTATTAATGTAAAATTATTAATCATTTATTAAGTAAGGATAAATATGTATAGTTCAAAGTTTTCTAAATTTGTGTGAAAAGCGTCAAAACAGATGAAATATTATTTTTTTCTAGATTCTTGTGTGATTACTCCTGCAAAACATGAAGTCACCATATAATTAGATTCATCCAAAGCCAACTTAAGAGAGATGATATTCGTCTGGCCCTAGAGAGCATCATTTTTTCTTCACACATTTTTAATGGAATAATTGGAGAAATAGACAGTTTTTGAAACATAATTGTAGAAATAGTACAATTACTATTTACAATTAGCAAAATCCACATTTTTACTATGCTATTTTATTTCTTTGCCTTGTCAATACTCATCAAAACGTCTTATTTACAACAATGCCATTAATATATAATTAAATTATATTTTTCTTTCCTCTCAGATTTTTAATTAATATTTATTTTTTTTTTCTTTTTTCTTTTTTATTACATTCTCCTTTCAATCTAAAAACTAAAATACTAGTCAATGAAAATTTTTATTTTTACAAGTTTCAAATATATAAAAATCTATGTTTTTTTCTCTATTATATGATATGCATTTTGTTTGAAGATTTTATTTGATAATAACAAATAATTTTTATTAATTTTAGATATGTACAATTTACTAAGTGTACAGATCTAATCCGTACAACTTAAAACGTGTACATATGTACATATGTACAACTTAATAAGTGTACAAATATTAGTATACAAGTCGTAAACGATTGTACACGTATTTGTACAATAGGATATATGTACAAATACAATTGTACAGATCAAACTGTATATTTATTATATGTACAGAAAAATGTATGTATAAAAACTATATACAATGATATATGTACATATATAATTGTATGTATATTGACTATTATATTGTATTGTACACGTATTTGTACAATATAATATATATGTACAAATACAATTGTACAGATCAAACTGTACACATATTATATGTACAAATGAATTGTACATTGTACAGATGTCTTTTGTACATCTACCCTTTTGTAATTTACCACCACTACACTATACCCCACTTTCTCATCTATCTCACACATTCTGTATCTCACATAGTGGACCCATTATCTATTTATCCAATTTTGAATAGTAAATGTACTATATCACAAATTAAGTTTTGAAAATGTACTATAATGCTAATTTTCCCCATTTTTAATTTGCTTGTTTGATTCAAAACTGATTCAATTGCCTTTTAAAGACCATCTTTTCCGGTTATCTCTTGTCAAATAAGATTAATGTTTTCTTTTATATATTTTCCTCACATACATTGAACAACTCTCTAAAATCAGTCTATATGATCATGCCCAATCTTTTGGAGGTAAATCCATTTTAGAAAATGCTAACCGGCTTTTTCATGTTTTCCTAAAAGGCAATAAGCTCATTGAAGTCTCCAATCATTATTATGTGAAACTTTACTACATGATTACTCGTTATGTTTGGGTTTATTCGGTTGTTTTTAGGGTTTAGTATTTACTATAATGTATGTCTTTTAGCAAATTGTTTTTTGAAAAATAGACATTTTTAAAAGTTCAAAAATAGGAAATCTATAAAAATTTAACAAATATGGCATATTCGTAAAATTTGTCATAAAAATGGTATTTTCAGTAAGAACCCCCTTTAAAAATCGCCACTAAACAATAGCTCTTTGCGTCTGGAGCTTATAATAAATAAAAATTAATCAAAAGATTTCAACATATACGTGACTTTTAGACGATTAACTCTTGAATTTGAGAGGATTTTGTTACCGTTTAAACTTTAAAGTCTGTCTCTGTCCAAACTTGCTGCAAAAATATTTTGTTACCCTTGTCCCTTCTATATGCTCCACTTATTGAGTATCAGTGTATATTTTCTGCCCAAGTAAAAATAACAATGCTAATCCAATAATGAAGTTCTTGTGTTTATCTCTACATGTGTGAACACTGGCTTTATAAGTTTATCGAAATATCCAAAAGACTAGTGGGGTGTTACCATTTATGGTGTTTCAAAATTATTTTACAATGAATCCAACATCCAACCATAAGGGGTCCCGACTTAATTAACTAAGAAGGCATACATACTTAGACTTTTCTACTGTGATAAACTCCTTTGTTTTTTTTTATTGGCTTATGGATTAGTTTATTTGACTTTTCTCATTCCCTCCTTTTCGCTTCCTATAAATAGAAGCCATGCAGGGTAACATTTTATATCCATCACACGTTTTAACATACTAAGAGAGTTACAAGAAGAACTTGAAACAAAAATGGCTTCCAAGGCTTTGATTCTGTTAGGTTTCTTCGCAGTTCTTTTCGTCGTCTCGGAAGTGGCTGCGGCAGCTGAGGCACAGTCCGGTACGTAATATGATTATATATAGATTTCATTCTATTTAATACCTTCCTTTGGAGGTTATTCATGAAGCTAACGTAACATGTGATGGTTCATCCTATAATCTTGTCCTTTCGAAGTTTATTTGGAGTCTCTCTATAGCCAAAACACTTAATACGATTTTTACTCACTAAATTTATCATACTATCTCAAACTGTATATTAAATTATCTAAATCGTAACAAAAACTTGTTAAGGAATGCACAATATGCACGAGCTAAATTGAAATGATATGTTGTTTTGGACAGGCAAGGTTAAGAGCGAGGAAGCAGCTGTGAAACCTGATCAATATAATGGTGGAGGTTACAACAATGGAGGAGGCTACAACAACGGAGGAGGCTACAACAATGGAGGAGGAGGCTACAACAACGGAGGAGGAGGTTACAACAACGGAGGAGGAGGATACAATAACGGAGGAGGAGGCTACAACAGAGGAGGAGGCTACAACAGAGGAGGAGGATACAACCGCGGAGGAGGTGGAGGTTATTGCGGCCATGGATGCTGCTTCAGAGGATACAATGGCTGCAGAAGGTGTTGCTCGTACGCTGGAGAAGCTGTTCAGACTCAGCCTGGTCACTAAAACAATACAACGATGCATGATTAATGCATTATGTGTGTATCACGTTAAGTAAAAACCATGGTGCCTTTGTAATGAAGTGTCTCAAGTGTTTGAGGCAACATAGATAAAAAAAAAACTATGGGAATAAAGTTTGATAATGTAAAATGCTTATGTGTTTTGAGTTGTATTATGTGATGTTTCTTAATAAAAATGGTTTTGTATACTTTTATGTTAATCTCTTTCAGTATTGTGTGACAGAGTTTTATGAAACTTTCACCAATACTAATTTCCTACGAGATATTTCCTACCAAAATTTTCTGAAAACGGTGAGAAACAGGTGTTTACTACCATTTTTCTATAATATAATATGTTCCGTTGGAAATCAGACATTTTCTTATAGTAATTACTAGTTATCAAGTTGGAGGGTACTACGATTATGAATCAATAATAAATAGTACATGTAAATTTTATTTGGCCAAACAATTAGTTTTCATAAATGATAAGACTATACTATGAGTATGAGGTTTCATGTAACTAGTCGTCCACTTGGCACTCGGCTCGCCGCAAACCCTACCAACGACGAGTAATTACATATTTGTACTATCGATTGGATATTTCGATATGGACTTTTCAAAGATAAAAATATCTATGGATGCACAAAACATCTTAGTTATTCAAAAAATTAAAAAAAAAACAAAAAAGATAAAAATATGTATATTTGGTATTCTTATTATAAAATAATTTAGTAATTTGATTACCTAGTAATGCTACGTAGAAAGAATCTTGTGATTTCATAAGAAAAATTAGTGATTAACTCAAAATAGATTTAGCATAGTTATATAAGGTTTAGCGATATCTATGAGAAAAGGTGAAAACCAATCCGACTCCATAATTGAGCTGCATAATGGTGCACTAGTATAATCAAATTAGAATTATATAACTAAAATGCTTAGTCGAATTGATATTAAACATATATAGTTTGATAATAATCATTAGTTACATGATCACATGGATGCAAACATGAATGTATGTACGTAAGAGATCCTTAAAAAGTTATAGCTAGAGTTATGTCATTTTCTAAGACCACGTTTGCGTTTACGATCAAGATCACGTCAATGTCAAATGACTACGTTCAGGCAATCACACTTATCAAATTAACGTCATATTCATTCCAGAAAACGTTGTTGAGCATCTTAGAAGTGATGAATTATTATCTTTATCAATGGATTTTTTAGTGTTTTTGACCTTGAAAAAGAAGAATTGTTTTGGTTTAAAAATCTTTAGGTGTTTAACACATATTTGGATAAATTTCAACATTTTAGTGGTATTTTTGATAAAGTTTGATGGAGTATTTTTGAAATTATTCCTTCTATTAATTCAAGTAATTATTATTTTCGATTTGGAAATTACATATAATCGAATAATCATATCATACAAAAAATGCTTAGTAAAACGGTAAGTGAAAATTTGTCTAAGTGTTTGGCTCGGATGTGTATAGCCGATAGTTAATCTTGTAAAAAACTTGGGTTAAGTATCAAATATCGTTGGATGACAAAAAAAAAAATCAAATATAGTCTTGAGCCTTATATATACTGCCACTAGATAAGACTCATCATAACCAAATCTGCACAAATTATATTTTTCCTCTGAAATTCTTTATAAAATTTGATTATTTCTTTTACTCTATCCAATTTAGTCAAATGTGAAAATACACTTTAAATATAGAATATTATTAAATAAAATCAAAAATTAATTTCTTCAAACTAATAATATTTTTAAAAACATATATTTTATTTTATCGGTGATTTTTCAGAGTTGCATGCAGTATAGTCCAATAATAGAGTTCTAGATATTACTATTATTTTTGTGCGAACGGATCTGATAGACATCTATATGTGTGTGTGAATACGCTTTGTTTAAGAAGTTGATAGAGGTACAATATACTAAAAGAGTAAAAAGACTAGTGGTGTTGTCATTTATGAAGTTGCAATTTTATTTACTGTGAATCCAACAACCAACCATACTAGACGTGTACACACACTTTGATACTTATCTCCTTACCACTTTGTATTTATTTATTGGACTACTGATTTGTTTATTTGACTCTCTTCCTATAAATAGAGAGCATAGTGAGTAACATTTTATCCATCATCATCACTTCATTCACTTGTGCTTTGCATCATATATAAAAAGAGTGTTATAAAGAGTTAACGAAGATGGTTTCTAAGGCTTTAGTTGTGTTTGGTCTATTCGCAGTTCTTCTTGTTGTCTCAGAAGTTGCTGCCGCTGCCTCCGGTACGTAAAGTTTAATATGATGTTGTATCCTTAATTATTACATGTAACACAAACTATGTTTTACGTTTTACATGTTACAAATATTTTACTAGAAGCTTGATCGAGATCACATATTTGTATATTCATTTTTTAAACTACTAATATCTTTGAAACAATGTATTATTTTGGACATGGTGGTGCAGTGAAGTCAGAGACTGAGGAAACCGTGCAGCCTGATCAGTATCATGGTGGAGGAGGACACAACGGAGGTGGATATAATGGAGGAGGAGGATACAATGGAGGAGGTCACAACGGAGGAGGATACAATGGAGGAGGTCACAATGGAGGAGGATACAATGGAGGAGGTCATGGGGGACGAGGAGGTGGTTACTGCCGTCACGGTTGCTGCTACAGAGGTTATAATAGCTGCAGAAGGTGTTGTTCATATGCCGGAGAAGCTGTTCAGACTCAGCCTGGTCACTAAAGCAATATAATAAGCTGACCACCATGCATGATTGCATCTAGATATATACACACTTGTGTGTGTATGACTATAGTGTATAAACCATGGTGCGTTTGTAATGAAGTGCTTAAAGAATAGTAATGGGAATAAAAGTTTCATAATGTAATGTCTTTGTTTTTGAGTTGTAATATCTAATCTTTGATGTTTGCATAATAAAATATCGTTTCTAGTTTCTACTATTATCTTTCGGTTTTGTGTAATAGTGTTATTTCTTTATTCATACTCTTAATTAGGATTTAGGGTCGAAGAAAAACATAAAGCTGAGACTATATCGAGGTTTTATTTGCACACATAAGCATTTCGAAAAAGATAAAAAGTTATATTTTAATATGATTGTTTTGTATTTTTTTTATACAACATATAAAATTGCAAAATTTGACGAAATTACCATAATTGCAAAATTTAAAGGTTTATTTGCTCAAAACCCATAACTAAACATATCAAATAACCATAAATATTAGTTAATGTAGTATATTCAAATTATAAGTTAGTACATCTATACACATGTTTCATTGTTATGTGTAAAATACCCTTAAAAACTTGGTTCATGGCGGAATTGTCTGTTTTTCCACTTTATTGACGATCAAATAGAGAAATATCTTGTGGTGCGAAATATTCACAACTATCGTTGGAAATTCGTTGGAAAATTATGAAAATTTTGTTTGTAGAAATATTGGAATTTTAATATTAGTATAGCACTTAAAAGAGTTTCATAAAGATATGTGTAAGGACACCAAACAGAGATTATTAATTTTATTTTACTAAAATGAAATATGTACACGAACGTTTAAAACTTTTTAACAACATGAGATTTCAATATAGTTACTCTTATTATGTCACAATACAAAACTGCATGGTAACCTGATGAGATCTCCAAATTCATTAAAACTGTCTAGCTAGTACATGCCATGTACTTGTATTTGAATTGATTTCACGAGAGATCCATACCAAAACCTTTTATCTACACATGTTCCTGTTCCCTTCTGCTAACCTTGTCGTTTCGATCATCGTATAATTGCAATAGCCCATCACTATTGGTAGGTCTCAGACAATATTTTTCCAAACATTCAATGCACATGAAAAAAATATAAAAACAAAGACCATAGTTTCACTACATGAAAACAAAAGTCAATATTGTACTGAGTCACGAGAGACATTTTTAAGTTACGATAACAGCTGTAGCTATAGTTTTACTATAAATTGTCTATTCGATCCCAACTGTTTTAATGTTTTGATCAATAAAGAAATTAAAAGTATATTAAAGAAAAGTAAAATACAATTTTGTTTTTTACTTTGTGTGAAAAAACTTTAAACGACAAGTAATTTGAAACGAAGATAGTATAATTTTTTAGCGAATAATTT